AAAAAAAAAAAAAAAAACTTAAATTAATGTATACGATCGGAGCTCCTTTCGCCTGCACGGATGGATTGGCAAAGGGCTGCTGTTGTTTTACTTTCACTTGATTTATTGATTTTTTGTCAATATTTTAGGTGGTGGCTAAATTACCTTGCGTTGCTCCTAGTGTCCTTCATGCTGTGGGTTTTATCGAATTGACTTTTAGCTCGCGGTGCTAACGATCGGATGAGCACTGCGTGTACCGATACGCGCGTTTCGCCGGTGGATTCGTCGCTCAACTGAGCTCGAAGGTTGTCGGCCAGGAGCTTTTATGTAGCCTCGGTACAGCCGGGAAAAGCTCGGTGCGCATGGCCACGTGAGAAAGGAGCCGTTGCCTAGCAGCACACCGCACCGCCACCTGCACACCCGACCAAACAACACCGCGTACCCTTGCATTCCTCAAACTGCAGTAGTGCAGTGTACCGGAGGGTGCAAGCTCTCGTATCGCTGATGATGTTACGTGTATGACTCCTCGGGAGTTTTTTTACAAATCAGCCTGTAACTATACTCCTCCGCGGTACACGTATCTGCTGCGCGTTGATCGGAACGATCACTCGCGGGAGCAATTTCGTTCGTCCGATCAGGGTTTCAATTTCTGTGCATCGAAATTGATCATTTTTCGGAAAATAAGCATGATTCCACAACTTTTTTCAACCACTCTAACATTTTTACTTTCAAAATTTACAAGTTTGAGCTGCATACCATTCATCCTTCAAATGGCTCATTTTTATCATAATTCTCATGTTTCTTTCGATCGTTTTAAGTATTTATGGTGATCGTTGAAACAATTTTTACACTTCCTAAAAAGGAAACGCGCAAACAGTCTAATTTACAAAGTATAACGAAAACACTTATTACAATTTGTTAACTTCTTAAGTGATAAGCAATTTGCTCATTATATTAAAAAATACAGTCGAAGAAATAGCGATGAAATTTTTTAAATATAGATTAATTTGTATGATACAATCACAAAAAGAATGATATATTATTACATGGATTTTTTTTACCCTCATTAGTCAACTTCCAGTCTTTTGTTACATGATATCAAAAAAATGTGATACGATGGAAATGAAATTCGAGAACCGTTGGATTAAAAATTCTCTTTGTCTCTCTCTCCCATACACTCACACATAAACGAATAATCATCATAACTATAAATATATGTAACTATTGATGTATAGTTTTATTAATTTTTTATTGAAAGTAAACTAATGGCTTGCTTATAGTACACAAGTAAAATCAAATTGCTAAAAGTTAAAATATGAGGTGGAATAATTTTTTAAGAAGAAGTTGTTAATTTTTACAAATGGGAGTAAAGGAGTACCAATGCGCTTAGCTGACGCTTATAAAATATATCATACTGGTATAGCACGAAGAGCGGCAGTGGCCGTAATCGCCGAGACTGATGCCAATCACCGGCGTCACCGAGCTTTCAACATATATGGGATAGACGCGTCGGCCTCATATGCATACAAACCGAATCCATCAAATAGACAGTATTTTCTTAGAAACCGTCCAATTTTCGCTCTCGTTCGTGTATCAGTCGAGACAATTCCCTGTATGTAACATTTTCACCTTCAATCTCGGATGAAAAAACAATCGAAAAAATCTAAATATATCCTCATGCAGTTTTATATGCAAAATTATGGCGATGTATATAGCGTACACGCTTTTTCGCACATGAGGGAGACATTGTTCAATATGAATATTTCAGTTTAATGCGAACAAAGTAAGTATCCAAAAAGGTGTCGGAAGCATATTCTATATACTCATTTGATTCATGTGACATCCATAACTTTACAACAAAGGCTGTACGTCTTTTGTACTTCATGACAATTACTGATTTGATGAAACCACCCATTGAAGTATTGCAAGTTTTTTTTTTTTAACAATCGATAAGTATATAGTATACCGACGTTGCCGCTTGCGTTTGCAATCAAGCCGCAGTAGCAGAGTATTGCGCTTGGATTCACTTCGGACTTTGTCGTATTTCTTCTGAAAGAAAAAAAAATTGCAAACAATGCCGAAGTACCGTACAAGGAACCATACCTCGAAATTCATTAAAGCCCATTTTCCCGGAACTCGCGTACTTACACTTTTTTGTTTTTGTCATCGCGCGATACTTAAAATTACTTGCTCTCTACAGCTTCCCTCCTGAGCGTGTATTCAAGAACTAAAGTCTCAGGGCCGAGCGACAAACCCGGACCTACGGGCTCGTGACGTTAGCTGTGTAATCCAAGTGCATACGCATAAATGTACCTTATACTGTTCACGTATACCAGTACGACTAGTGGTTAGTAAAGAGGAGTCAACGAAACCCTATACCAAATATCGAAAAGTTTTGATCTATGACCAACTTGATGTTTAACTAAGAGTGACAGTTGATGGATGAAAATAACTTACATTGCCATATATAGTGTGTAATATTACTTTTTAAACGAGAAGACTGATTCGACGTATTTTTGAGAGTAAGAATCATAGCAATCATGAGCTTTCCGTAGTCAACATTATTAAGCACACTCTTGTTTTGGGTTAAGTCAATCAAAAGTTTAATCTTATATTCTATTAAATGTATTATCTGTACACATGTTTTAAGCAGTTCTAAAACAAAAGATTAATAGTAAAGGCGTTAAATAAATCACTTTACCATCGTTTTAAAAATATATAGACGAATTCAGAGTACCTACTGAGAAAAAAAAAAAAAAAACCTCAGGTAAATGATAATTGAGTGACACGTAGGTACATTTCATATTACTTAGGTGGAATAAAATCTTAAATTGTTCATACTGAAAGATCATATTAGCGTGTGGTACAACACTTCACGCGTACCTACGCGTTCATGTATATACAGGGATCTCCGAGGGGATCTCTCGCAATGCTCGCACGCCGCTCGTGTTTCGTTTCGCGGTCGGTTGCACGGGTATACATACCTACCGCGAACGAAGGTACATCAGGTATGTTATAAATGTGTCATGGGTGTACAAGTATATAGTTGCGTGGGCTTATGAATCGATGCGTGGATAACTGTATACCTGGCGGAACCAAAACTGGTACTCAAAGATGGGGCTGTAGCTGTCGACCTCCCAGATGAAGTTGTAGCCGGTGGGTCCCTTCCTGAGCTTCGGCTGCCTGGGGGAGCCCGACAGCTCGACGTTGGTCTCGGCCTCGCCGAGCTCGTTGCTCGCCTTGCACGTGTACACGCCAAAGTCCTCGGGCTCGAGGCTCCCCAAAATCAAGCTGTGCAACTGGGCTGGCGGCCCAACTCCCGTTTTCCCGGTCCCCGGCTCGTCCTGCTTCTGGCGCAGCACGTGCGCCGACCGGCCCAACGGTTTGCCCTTGAAGAACCACTCGAACCGGCCCTCCGGCCACGACACCACCAGGCACTCCAGCTGGGCCCTGATACCCGGCGCGCTGTGCACCCACCGCCTCCCCGCCGACACCTCGGGCTTGTCTGAACATAATACATCATACATATATATATACATGATGCACTGCACCACATACATTCGTTTCAGCGAACGTACCCAGCAATTTTAACTGTCGGTACTTTTCATTTCAAATTACTCGTTGCCCGTAAAATTCATTCGTGTCGTCAAATAATTCATTTGTATAATGTATACAAGATTCGTTATCACTCAATTTCGCGATTACGGCTCGATATTCCATTGTATACGTGTACTATATGGGTACAACGATATTATACGTGACGCAAAACGTCCAGTGCAATCGAGCCCCTATATATAATACAAAAGCGTCCCAACTCTGCCGTCAAATTGAAAGATACTATTGTTTTCCGATACACTCGCTCGCGTGTATAATGACGACAATGGGGAGTTATTAGTTTCATTATTTAGGTATATATCTATATGTACGTAGAGTGAATGCGGGATTATTATTGTACGTTACACGAGATCATAGTTGGGCACATCTGTAAAATCAATAAATGTTTCATGAACGAGTCCGAGCTTTCATTTGATGAAAAACACCGATCGGCGAGCAGAAAATTAATTGACATCTCGACACGATTGGCGCAAAAGAGTTTCGCTTGCGTATTATCTGCTCGGCGTATACATATTATATATAATTGACCGGAGCTACCTTGTTAACGAAGGTGTTATATTTTTAAAAACGATGCGCACACGGTATATGATTGTGATTCACGTGCGAAAAGTGAGTTTGTTCGTCGGTACAAGGTATTATACCTATACACTGGGATTGATCAATAAATTAATTATTCTGTGAATATTAAATCGACGAAATTACCAATCAAGCGAACCGAGCAGAGGCAGATTTGCCAAAGTATTTAACTCATAATTCGCTTGATGGGTACACAACATGTAGTATAAAGCATGCGCTCACTGCTGCAGACTGTCGGCAAAGGTCGCGTATTATATACATCATGTACAGTTGTACATACATTTTTATGTATGTGTATAGGTACTTTTAATATTACCATACATATACAGTTATATGTGCACTTGAGCCACACATCGTATGAATATATATACGTATACTTATATATATATTCTGAATCTGTTCATTCACAAATCTCAATGCTATGGTATTGCGCAGCAATGCTTTTGAAAAGACGAACAACAACGTACCCTACCTTGCGACAAATACACACGTACTTATAGGCACCCAGGGCCGCTTTATGGGCAGCTTCCTGTTTGAGAAAACCATTCCCGACGACGAATCGCTTGCGCGTATATATATATATATATCTACGTGTGTGTGCATGCGTCCACGTACATGTGTGTATTTACGTGCCACCACAATGGAGTGCGCGTTTTGAAAAAGCTTCGGGGTGGTGGGTCCGATTATTACAATATAATGGTCCTGATTTAATTGAGCGCGTGTTTGTGCGAGCCGTATACCTCATTAGTGCAGTATACTTTGAGAAATTGATTTTCTTTTTTTTTTTTTTTGTTATTTGTTCGTCTTTTGTGATTAATGCAACGTGTACAATCATATACATTGTGTATTAAAAACAACCAAACACACCCACGGTAATTTCACTCTGAAAGAAGTTTTGATAACAGTATAGCCTCGTTACTCAATGTTATGTTTATAAAAAATTGTCGCCCAAGGGAAAAAGTAAGTACATGGATAGACTAAAAGTTTGAGAAATCCATCACCGTCTCGATTTTTGGTGGAAATATGCCAAGTATTAAAAAAAAACTTTGCTTTCGACCAATGTAAAACTTTTTTTCCGAGGAAAATGTAAAATCACCTGCATTTGTGGAAAAAAAAAAAAAAAAGTAAGGGAGAAATAATTATCTTTAACTTCTGAAGAGATACATTTTTTCTTTCCCCACCGAAAAGCACATGTCTTTGGTAAACTTAAAAAAAAAAAAAAAAAAAAAAAAAAAAAACCAACTTACGCTTGATCCTGAGCTCGATGCTGGCTCGCGCGGGATTGCCGATCCCGTTGCTCGCCCGGCACGTGTAGAGTCCCGCGAGGCTGCGATTGGCCGCGTGGACGAGCAACCGCTTGCCCACCGCCAACTCCTTGCCCTCGAATTTCCAAGTGACCACGGGCTTGGGTGTGCCCTCGGTCTCGCACGCCAGCTCCGCCTCCTCGCCCATCGTCACCTCAAGCAGCCCGTTCTCCGGCACCGTCTTCACGCTCGGCGGATCTACCGGCAATCATCGACGCGTGTCACATCCACCTATACCTACACACGCGCTCCTAATCGGCTTTTCCTCCTCCTCGACATATTGGAACACCCGAGGCCGGATAAAGCGCGCGTAGGCGGCACTGACCATTCGATCGAGTGCACCTATATACTTTACGTGGACGCGCAAATGTACGCTTTCGCTTCGAGAGCGGCTAATGACTTTTGCGCTTTCAATAAACTGTCGCGCTCGCGCCTCTTTGCTCCTTCCCCCCCCCTACTCTTACTCATATCCGTATACATGTATAGTTTCACCGTAAGCATCTGTCTCTCTATATCTCTGATCTGATTAAGTTCAATTTACGGAGGCTGCGAGAAATCCGATTTATTATCGCTTAATCTGAAAAGCAGCCTGGTCATCGTACATTATTATCATACATGTATTATATGCGTATGGGTGTATGTATATCATGGTAATGGTAATAATAAAAATAAATGGACCCGTACGCGCCACGGCCCCATTACAACGTGTATGTGTATGTATATGATGATGATGATAGTAATAATATAACGTGGAAGCAACAAAACGCGCTCACACATGCACGATAGTCGGATGGGGATGTACCCCAATGTATACAGGCTTCCCTCTCCCGGAAAAGATATCCGCGGTGAATTATTATACCTACAAGACGCCAGAGTCCGCGAATCAAGGGGGGGTGCTGGTCGAGTATATTTTTTTTCCCCCGAGCAGGAAAGCTCGAAGCCGTATACGGAGTGACGTTATTACTCACTCGGAGGATTTTTTTTTTTTTTTTTTTTTACTTCATTGTGGTTGTGTGTAGGTGCATGAAAGCGGATGATTTCCATCAATTGCCAAAGAATGAGTACATATTATTACATTCACGGGCCAAGAACTGTGGCGTGCAGTGGTTACTTTAGCATTATAATACACACGACACTGCGCACAAAGGGATCGTTTAGCGGCATTGTACGGCCGATCGTGAAAAGTCGCTTCACTCGAAAATAGGCATAATACACGTATGTCAAAATTGTCGGGGGGCGGTTGGGTGTGAATATTGATTCGTAAATTGAAACTGACGCCCGGTACGAGGTGCGTGTGCGCTCGTTTTCAAAGCCCGAGGGGTCGCGGCTCCGAATATTTATTGCCGCGTACGGGTGCACCCGTGGGAGCTGTATCGTGTACGTGCACCGTGAAAATTTCACAACGTCGCGCGCGATAAAAAAAATAGAAATCGATCATCCCCCGCGAAATCGTTTGTCAATTTTAACTGACGCGTTGCGGGTATCGTTTTACTACAACGATCGTCGTGCAAATTCAATAACCGACTTTTTTTTCTTTTTTAGTATAGGTACCGAATAGTATATAGATAATTGCGATGGGAGTTTTTTTCTTCCTATATTCGCTCTAGTTTGAACCAGAGAATTTAATTGCGAAAATCGGTTTATACGTACGTACAATCGGATCCTATCTAGGGACTATTGAAGAGCCGAAAGGTCGAAATTTTCCGTGAAAAAGCCTCACTCGAGCGAAAAATCGGCTTTTCCGCAGTAGAGAGCATGTGGCTTATATATGCATGGAAAATGAAAAAAAAAAAAAAAAGTAGGTACTGGAGTGCAGAGTGGGTCGGGTGTATCAGCACGTACTCACAGATGACCTGGATCTCGTGGACCTGGGTGACGTGGCCCCAGGGTTCGGGCCTCTGCGCCTGGCACACGTACTTCCCGCTGTCCTCCGGTCTCACGTGAAGCTCGAGGCTCCGGTTGCCCCACATCCGCATCCTAGGGCTCGCCATCACCGCCAACGGCTCCCCGCTGTCCGCCAACAGTCTGTTCGTCACCGTACCGTTCTCCTCGACCTTCTTCCACCAGCGCACCCGCGGCTCCACACCTAAGTCCACGTTTCACGTTATTCTACATGCACCAGACTCTATATTTTCATGAATATACATACAATTGTATACATCTCATCCCCCCATTCCCATGTATACCTACAAAGGGTCCAAATACGAGCCCCACATCAGGCAGTTTACGCGCTTTGAATCGTAATACATTCGCTTCCCCAAAATGGCCCGAAACGTATGATTTCCTCGAAATGTATGCCGAGCTGAGGAAAACAAACAAATAACATCCACTTCGTGATGGCTCTTTTTTTATTACCGAGGAGGAGACAAGTCGTTTAACGACGACCTCAACTGTTTCGGGAAGGAAAAAATCTCGCCACTTGGCTCTGTACGAGATGTAGATCAATAAAATCGAGCCCACGAAAACAAGTAATTATTAGGTACTTTAGTCATTAGTACGAATTAGGTGCCTTTTTTTAAGATTTCCATCAATAAACCCTTCTCCCCGCTTCTTTGTTCGGTCATTCATTTTTCCGTACACCTTGGAGTTGACAAGGAAACGCGACTATACAACAGCAGAGTAGTTTCAGATTTCCTGGCTGACGAAGCCACGGCGGCGGAGCATCATGGAGATCCTCATTATAAAAAAAAAAAAAACAACTAGGCAAAGCAAAGAGGGGGAGAGGGGCGTTGCAATTAGAGCGAGTCGCAAAAAAAAAAAAAAAAAAAAAAAAAAAACGTAGACGTGCATGCCAAAAAAGCCCGACTCACCGAGATCCTCGACGTGACATGGCAGCAGGATCGTGTCGTTCTCGTATGTCTTGATGACCGCGGCCAAACGGCCGGCCGCCGAGGAGGCGAGCCCCAGTAAGACCGACAGCAGCAGCCGCAGCACCGCGGCCGACGACATCCTCAATACTGATGATGCCCCGCAGCTTCGGACCCCGCTCTCGGTCTCTCTCTCTCTCTCTCTCTCCCTACTCGGCATTCCTCCTCTTTTTCATTCTTCTCGTATATACTTACCCCTGCTCTCTCGCGCGCCGTGATGTACTTTGATATTTGCCACTGCAATACGCGCTTTCAATTGGATGACACACGCGCGACAGCTCCTTTTGTACCATACCTAATGTATAATTTTATTGTTATCTTGGAGGGAAAAGAAAAAAAAAAAGGAGGGAGGGGGAAGAAGAACAGATGTATACAAAGGTATGCACAGGCATGCAGGAAAGCGCTTCGCTCTCCCCACACACACACACACACACACACACACACATATATATATATTTTTTTTTCCCGCAGTTGTTCAATTATGCGCATACATACAGCTGTTCTAGCGTCGCTCCATCGTCACGCCGGTGCTTTTCATCGCGGAAAAGCACCCGCTGAAACTTTAAATGCCCGTCAAACTGGCACGTACACCTGATTCCATATATATATTTACGTAGGTATGCCACACGGCCCGCGTACACGTTATACCTATGTATACGTGCGTAGTGGCCACCCTCGTACGGTGCAGACTTTATATATATATATATGTATACATCGAGAATCGAGTGGGCTGTGCTTCTACACGTAGCTAAAGAAGCCCCCGCTAATGGAGCTTCGCCCGCGGCATTGGCTTGCACGCGAGCCTCTTTGTGTGCGTGTCCAAGTTCTCGGCTTTTCACGTACGGCGCTCGCTCGTATAAGTATCTACTGTTTGCTCTGCGGCTGCTCATTCAGTTTCCGACTCCTTTTTCCCTTTGTTGCTTTTTGTTTAATTTGCTGTTGAAAATGCCTTTTTTTTTTTTTTTTTTTTTTTGGAAAAACATTTTATTGCTCGTGGAGTCAGCCAGTCTCTCCTGCACCTGTAATACGCGTTTGGTGAAGCTTATGTGGAAAAAAAAAAACAACTTGAATTTCGTCTCGTGAATGCCTATCCTCGACCGCAGCCTGCATTCCTGTGTCGAATCTGATGGTCGCTTCTATATAATTATATGTATACACTCCGAGCCAACAGCCACAACGTCGCAATAGGCATCCATCTCCGTGCGACAAATATTTGAGCTTTTTGCGGGTAATCGAAGCTCGCCCGTCCATTTATTGAAAGTTGATCCGTACACACAGTGGAGCCGATCAATCAATCGGTAAATGTACAGATAGGTGTACAGTCTTCTAACACTTTGACTGGTATGGGTATACACTCTACGTCCTACATGTGAAATTAAATTTGAAAAAACAAAAACACATTTTTTTACTTTTACATTTTTATGAAAACGTGTATAAAATTAGTTAACGTCGAGCTTTTTTTTTTTCTTAAATGTTGAATTGCGTTTTTTTCCTGCATCCGTGCATGCATAATTCAATCGGGAAACCGGATCAAAAGCTCGGGCTGCTCCCTTACACGTGATGCCCTTCTTTAAACATAAAAGGTAATCCTCAGCCATATACTTCTCGCAACTCTTTTTCATATTTTTGCTTATATAGCTATACCTCTTCACGGAAGGTAATAATACATCGCGTTACTTTTTGCTCCAATTTCTTTATTTTTCGGGTATTCGTGTTACGCGATAAATAATGTTAACAGAATATAATGTAGTAATCGATCAGTGCGGGCGTGTAAAGAGAAGCGGGGGAGAATCGGTCGATGCTTGTTTGGCGTACACGTCAATATGCTTGTTGTTATTCTTCAATTTCGTACGGACAAACGGAGAAAACAAAAGAGAATAGTAGTACGTCTCCAAGGCAGTGCGATATTCCATTTCATTTATAAATACTGTGCGGAACCTGCTCTCAGCTTTCCACCGATCATCGTCATTCTGATATGAAATACGCGTACACGGTGTATGTAACGAAACTCGCGAACCGTGTAACTTTTATCGAAAATCGTTCGCGCTTCACGAAAACTCATGAAACCGCAATGAGGGTTTCTTAACGATTCCTCGCGAGGTCTCGTGTATTAATTATCACCGCGTATCGACGCGCCGAGCACGCACTTACATGCACGGACTCTATACGTATATAGGTTTACGTCAAAGCCAGTTTTACCCGCGAGTCGATTGGTAAAAAAAAAAAAAGAAGGAAAAAAAAAACCATGTCCCCGTCGCCAAGCTTACGAAATGACATATGTGTAACACGATCGTATATTTGTGCGTATTTACGATCGAGAGGGAAGGGAGGGAGATAAGGGAGGCGCAGCCAAGTTTGCGAGGGATGATTGTAGGAAGAAGCAAGGTCGGAGGAAAAAACTTTTCAAAAGTTTTACAGTACAAAAACAACTTCCTCAACGAATAGCCACGTGCGAGCTCTCTCTCTCGTATGGGTATTGTTTCATCCGTACACATAGCCAACACGAATTTTATGTACGTGTTTCCAGTTTGACGTGAAATATCCAAGGGGTTTTTTTTTTCCCCCGTTTCAGTGACACACAGTCGTCCACAAAATAATACGTCACGAGCTTTAGGAGTCGCCCAGCCGTCAAGCGGATCTTATCGAAAAAAAAAAAAAAAAAAAAAAAAAAAAAAAAAAAAAAAAAAAAGAGGAAGGAGCCAGTACGGAATACCCCCCTCCTCGCCTTGGAAAATCATCTTAATATTAGGAGTAAGTACAGCTCGCGTAGGAGGAGGAGGAGGAGGATGATCAGAGACGCTTAGCTTCCCCACAAAAGAGGTACACCCACGTGAGAGCAGGAAAGGGAAGGAGAAAGAAAGAGTATAATTTCATTGGCGCAAAAGAAAGGGGGAAGAAGGACGAAGAGTGTGCGCGTGTACATATGACGTATAATATATACACATATAAGGGCGGGAGTTTCGGTTACATATATACATATATGTGGGTTAGTGTCGTGTAGTCGGCAGAGGTCTCCTCCCTGCACCTATGGAGCTTTCCATCCCACAGGACAATCGATATCCAGCCCGTGTATGTACCTATATTTTTTGTTGTTGTGCTTGTATGTATATATGTATATATATATATGTATATATGAAATGTAATGTAATATATGTCGAGAGGTAACATGTGCATCACGCATCAAATAGTAAGCAGTGGCAGCTGGAAGCAGGGAGTATCTCTCTGTACGGCCCGAGTTTTGATAAGCGGAAAGCTCCCCGAGAACTATACGCTTAAACCCCTAACGTATATATACGAAAGCTCACGGTGGCAGTCGATATATGGGTCGACGACGAACGCGCGCTTCGCTTGGACATGCGCTTCGGTCGGGGGCTCGTCATATATAGGTGTAGAGTGAGAGAGAGTGAGTCGTGTGTATGGCAGTAGTCGGTCGCGCGCCGCCCTCGCGAACGGAGATATGCGCCAGCAAGAAGAGCAGGGTAAGAATCAGTCGGAGCTTGCACAGCCAGTTGAGCTGGAGGTGCGCCAGGAGGAGCCCGTGGGGTCGAGAGGCCGGTGGAGTTGCGGGGATACGGTGGCCGCCCAATGCGGGGGAGGTGCGTCCGAGCCGAGTCCCGAGAGTAGTCCCCCGGCGAGGAAGTGAGGTAGGCACCCGAGCTGGAGGAGGAGGAGGAGCGCCCAACAACCGCGGGAGGAGGACGATGGGGAGGACGAGGACTCGGCGAGCCATAGCTCCGGTATTAGAAGATGCAGCCAACGACAGCAGTTGCAGCAACTTTTACACCATTACCACCACAACCACAACCACCTCCGCCGACGGCGAACGATGACGGACTCCGCCTCGGGCCGGGTGTGCTTAGACGAGTCGACGATCGCCGCGGTGAGCCATGACTTAACGTTTTATTCTTTTTACTTATACTTATACTTACAAGCTAAGTACAACAAAAACAACCATATATAAATCGTCCCTCTCCCGCGCGCGATTCGAATAATACTTGCACGCTATACAACGCGGGGGTGCACAGAGCGAGTTAGCGCGCGCTCTTGTGTGCACATGCAGAGATATATGCATTAAGTATATACCTGTAGCTTAACACTGGCTATGGTATTTATCTATTCATATGTTCATATATGTATATAAACATGTGCAGCAGCTGATACGATGCCCCCCACAGCTGATGGACGCGTCAAAAAAAGCACACATAACGCGTGCATGTATAATAATAATAATAATAATATATGTACACAAATCAACGCGCTCGACGCTGCAGCACTCGTCGTTATTATAAGTAGTTTCGCGTACTTACAGGTGCATACGTAGATACATAAGTACAACCCTTCAACACCGCGACTATACGGATACATATATGTGTGTGTGCACAAAGAGCACTCGGGGTTGTTTTGTTTTGAGGGTCAACAGTTTCTCTCTCTTCTTTTGTCACACCCTCCTTCTCCCCCAACCCCATCCCTCTGCACAGCTTCTCTATAGTTATGCACTACTTTATGTTACATTGTTTTCCTTTTTCAATTTACCCTCGAGTGCTCTAAACTGCGTACTAAATCGCGCGTTTACGCGACCAAGATAAATGTATAATGGGGCCCACGTGTATGTATACCCATTTTTTGTTTTCTTTTTTCTTTTTTTTTTCGTGTCAAATCCATCCAACGATGTTTATTCGTTATTACTTTTTAGCTAAAATTACTTTTTTAGACGGTACGTAGAGGGGGAAAAAAGGGGGGGGGTGCGTGCACGGAAAATTGAGTTTCAACTGTGCGTGTGTATAATGTATCTATACGTGAGAGGATGAAATAAAAAAGAAGGGGAGAAAAATAAAAAAAAAAGGGAGGAAAAAACTGCCGCTGGCCCGTTCGTGCTCCAGTTAGCATCGCACACTGCACGCTCGTAAATGCAGTAGCTCTGCAAATCGGCGCGATCTGCGGGTGATGGGAGAGCACCGCTGCTGCAGGAGCGAGGAGGTATAAAATGGCCTTGGGGGTGGGGGGGCATTCAGAGGGGGAGGATACTCGTGCACCTGTATATAGTATAGGCATGTATTTATATATATATATACAATATAATAATAGAGCAAAGTGAGATGGGAATCGAGCAAAGCATATTCGAGGGTTGTGATGCGTACATGGTCTGAATATAACGTATATTATATAGGGGGATGGTAGGAGGAGGGGGATGGGGCAGGTAAAATTGTTATTGGATTTGTCGGGCGTGTGACGAGGATTTCTTGGCTCCCCTTGACAGCACATCCACGAGATAAACAGCCAGATCGCCCAGTTCCGCGACCTGCTGATCAGCATTGGCCAGGCGCGCGACTGCCCGGAACTGCGCGAGAAGATCCGGAAGCTGCGCCGCAACTGCGTCGAGGCCTGCAAGAACACCTCGCAGATGGTCCTCCCGCAGATGCGCAGGTAAAATCAACATCCTAATACGTGTACATTATCCAACATTCATCCCTTAAATTTAACTCCTTATAAGCATAACAAGTATCATAATATAATTATGTTGATAAGAACAATACTTAACATATGATAATATGTGATACGGTTTGATGACAGTGCCATGGAGTCGGGCATACCTATCGATAGTCCAAACCTCGTGCTGCTCTTCTTCGTTGCCCAGCTGTTCCTGCGGGAGCTCTACAAGAGCAAAAACCTCGTGCGCGTCGTACCTATGGACATGACTGAATACTTTGGTAATTATCCTTTGTATCTTCATTCCTTTTTGCAACGTGACGCAAAAGATACTTACTACATTTGGATTTTTTACGACTGCACGTTAACTTTTTATTCCCGTAGTCGCTGACAACGCGCTTAATTTGCCATCATTATATCAGCAGTAGATCGTTGATTATACTTTTGAATGAAAATTTTACGTGAACTCATGAATTTCCATTTATTAAGTACAGGTACTTAGACCTGATTATAGAAATAAAAAATAATAATAATCGCATAAGTAGAGGCCAGCGCACAACTGAGAAAATAGTGAAGGAAACTCATCGATGGTAATGCAATTTTTCAACGAAAAAAAAAAAAAAACAGTAATTCGAGTTGATAGGCATGATTGCTCCAATTTTCCAATGGGTCAATGAAAAACTGCTCTTTCGTTTCTGACTCGGGGTCTGTTGGCTAAAAATGTAACAAAAAAAAAAAAAAAAAAAAACGGGGTCAATATAAATTCACATACACCGATCGATGTGAAAAAAAAACTAACTTTCGTCGAAAAATCTCTTATATTTCCTGTTGGCAAGACGTAAAAATGTTTCCAACTCGACAGTACGTTTAAGNAAACAAGTACAATTGTGTCTTTAACGATCCGATCGATGTGAAAAAAAAACTAACTTTCGTCGAAAAATCTCTTATATTTCCTGTTGGCAAGACGTAAAAATGTTTCCAACTCGACAGTACGTTTAAGAGTACCATTGCCTTAAAAATGATTCAAAAATAGACACAAGTCACGAGTGACGTTCGAATCAGTCGATCCCGGTGGATATGCAGCAAATCAGACCTAACGAACAATACGAAACCTCTCTCCATTCGTCGTTTCGAGAGCACAGTTCAAAATGAATAATTAAGAGTAAGAGGGAGAGAAAGGGCGGGAGAGACGAACCGCCCTCGTTTCTGATTCGGGTATACTGTAGAGGTTGTCGATGCTCGTTAATAATGAAGACGTACACCCACGCATGCATACACACCTATACGCCACGCACATACGTTTTCCTAACTTGTACGGCACGGAACATTTTTGAGGTGGTGATATATATATACATATACATATGGGGGAGGGTGGAAAGAAAAACACATAGACTCTCCGCTGTCGACAACAGGACACAACAGTCGTACTTAATGCTTTTCCAATCCCGATGAAACACACGTGTACGGCACACGTCATGCGTGTATACGGCAAATCGATAATTTCGACCGCCCGCCTATAAATATAATAACGTATACGCAGCTCGCCTATATACATGCGAACACATTTTTTTTTTATTATTATTTTTTTTTTTTGTTTTTATCATCATTATTATTGTTATAAGCGGGTTTGCGTGCGTGCGTTTGGCATCGGGTGTTGGTTTCAGAGAGCAAATCGGGCCCCTCGAACATCAGCAACGTCATCACCAAGATCCTGCTCTGCAAGCAAATAACAGTCGACTTTAACGAGGAAGAGCTGTGCAGCATTCAAAAGGACTCCGAGGAAATCGGCGCCCTCATAGCCGAGCTCCAAGAGTTCATGCCCCAGTCGGAAGCCGACACAGGTATATATTTTATCGTGAGACATTATATTACATCAATGAGAGTCATACATTAGCTTGGATTTAACGGTTTTTGTGTACTTTTACCCAAGACTAACGTCAACGATTACATCCCATTTTAATCTCGAGAGTTTATTTGTTGCGACTCGGCTCGGGGTTTTTATCGCGAGATCATAATGCGCGGTTCATAAACAATTTTAACCCGAGCAGTGGATTTTTTTTTCCTTTTTTTTTTTTTTTTTTAATTAAGCTGACCCATTTAAAAAAAACTCGCGTGTGTTTGGCTCGATGCGTTAATTATTATTTTGTTGGAAGGAGGTTGGAAATTTTCGGAAGGAAAAGTATGATGAAACAACGGGCACGCAGGTAGTGGGTAGATTAGAGAGCAAGTATCGAGCGATCGACGCAATTATGAGTACTTCCATCTTAAATTACGCGCAACGATCCAATTATACGTACATTGTAACTCACTACCGTTTGGAAAAGTTTGTGTGCAAGTAGAATTTTTAATTGCTAAAGGAAAATTTGAATTTCAAATGTGCTTGCTGTGCGCTCGTGTGCCATTAATCAACTTCATCCAGCGCCCGACTTTGAGACCATTATTATTAACTCCGGCACACAATTGTAGCATTTACTCTTTAGTGAAACGTTAGTTAACTCCTACTCCATATACCTATGCACGGGTTCACAATTTTTATTTTTCGAGCATCCGACCACTGTGTTATCCAGAATCGGTCTATTACAGCCATTTGATTGTATCTAAAACGCCTATTAGTGAGAAAAAAAACAAATAATAGATTTCACATGAAACTCACTGTACCTATATTGTAATATATTTTGTAAAAAAAAAAAAAAAAAAAAAAAACTTAATTTTTGTGACACGTTTAAACGTATACTAATAAATATGGGTTATACCAGGTCGATAGGTATACTTGAGGGTGGTTTTTCACATGAAAAATAAAAAAATAAAAAATTACTTCTAGGTGTATAGGGGGGTGCAAGGGGGCCAAAAAAGGTAGCAATTGCTTATGTAAATGTTCACAGAGCGGCCAGTGGCGCTGCAAGAGGCAGCGAATCGGCTTAACCGCAACAATGGGACGCGAAAAAATCTGCGCTGGGAGAACCGGCCGAGCCGACACCCCTCGTATTTGCGAGGTACCCTCAAGTTTTTCTGCTGTGCCGGACAACCGAATTACCTTTGATCTACCTATCGCCTTGTGGTAAGCGCAACTCCGAAACCTTTGAGAGCAATCAAAACGAAAAAACCAAAATACCGAATACAAAATCACATATATATATATATATATATATATATACTTTGTGCACGTGAGTGCGCGACAACCCTATATTTTTCTCGACAATTTATCAGTCTTTCAAATTCTAGAGCAGCAAAAAAAAAGCGCACAACACCGGGTCTTTCTTGACTATGGTGATCGCGAGTATAATCAAACTAAATACATAAATAAACGAATAAACAATGCAGTTCACAAGACAATCGGTTAAATGTTTAGCAAAAGTAGTACGACGAATACTTGACGAAAAAACGTTTAAACATACGTTATACTCTCATTGATAAACAAAACAGTCGATGCTCGCGAAGCGACGGCCAATCAAAAATTCAGTCAATTCTTAATCAACGGATGTACTTTATCCTTGTAGATTAACAAAAATAGTTCAAGTTGAAGTACATAATATTATTAAACTAAGATTATTATATACAAGAAACTATAGATAGTAGCGAAAAATAACTCAACTCTTTCGTTTCTGACTCGGGGTCTGTTGGCTAAAAATGTAACAAAAAAAAAAAAAAAAAANGTACGTGTGATCACAATTGATAAATTGGGTTACATTATTTATTAGATTATGATTCTAATGGATGTATTCTTCGATCGAATTTGACTTGTCGGTCAATCGTTTACAATATTAATACAATATACATTAATTACATTTAAAATAAAGAACAAGATTATTATATACAAGAAACTATAGATAGTAGCGAAAAATAACTCAACTGCCGCAAAAAAAAAAAACATCTTAAAATTGAGTGTATAAGTCTTGTATATATACGTCACTATTGATATTATTTTTGTGGTTGTTGATGTTATGATCATTTCATACGTTTAACGTTCACGTACAAAAATTAATCCTTGAACCAACGTTATAAAAAACTCAAGTGCTAATTAAAAATATAACAACACTCGAGCACAGTTTTATTGAATCGTGACACAACATAAATTGCTATTACTATAGTAAACGAATATTTCGTCAAATTTTATAGTTTACGGTACTAACTGGGAAAAAAAAAAAAGATAAAATCATAGGGTCCAAGTGACTTGGCTTTGGTGCTACGTATGAATTCATATCAGTTCGTATAGCAATAAAGATATTATAAGTAAACGTAACATCATTAGCCAAGTGATGCAGAAAGTATAAAGGAGAAAACTTTCATAGAATTTTTTTCCCCGACATATTAATATATATTCTATAGAGTAGTGTACTTTAGCTATAGCACTTATGTAAATTACGATAAAAATATTACATTTTTACCATCAAGTATCGAACTTAATAGAGCAGTAATTTTTTTTTTTTTTTTTTAATCGAGATATAGTGAATTTTAATGCTCACTATATCAAACTATATCGATAAATTTTCAAAGTACACGAATTCCCATAAATGACTTAAGCATACAAGAAATAACTAAAATAAACCTTAAAAAAAGTACGAAAACTTCATGTGTGTAGTGATATTATTAGTCTTGACCACTTACAGACTGGGTACAAAAAACGTAGATACTCATAAATAATATTTTACGAGAACCATAACCCTAAGAGGAAAAGGAAAAAAAAAAAATGTAGCACTTAGATTACACGAGAAGAAAATCATAGTATTTTGTAATGAAGTATTTTAAAATAGTACACACACAATATTGTGCATTATACAGATAAACGTCAGTGAAAAAAGTCTTTCTAAATATCTCTAATCATCCAACATTGTCACGCTTATTTGTCTTAATACAAAACAGTATTATTTGCACACAAAAAAATGCTGGAAGAAAAAAATTACTTATGTGCTACGATCGATATCATTACTTGTAGCTGCGTAATGGATATGTGCAAAAACCATATTGTCACTGTTACTCGCGGTAAAATTAAAATTATGTTGGCATCGTTGGTACTATTTTTCTTTTTTATCTTTTGTCGAACATCAAAGGATCGATGAGAAAAGGCATAATGCGCGGTTCATAAACAATTTTAACCCGAGCAGTGGATTTTTTTTTCCTTTTTTTTTTTTTTTTTTTAATTAAGCTGACCCATTTAAAAAAAACTCGCGTGTGTTTGGCTCGATGCGTTAATTATTATTTTGTTGGAAGGAGGTTGGAAATTTTCGGAAGGAAAAGTATGATGAAACAACGGGCACGCAGGTAGTGGGTAGATTAGAGAGCNGTTACTCGCGGTAAAATTAAAATTATGTTGGCATCGTTGGTACTATTTTTCTTTTTTATCTTTTGTCGAACATCAAAGGATCGATGAGAAAAGGCCTATGTAAAAGAGCGAATTTCAAGGCGAAAAAAGTCCTGCACACATTTTTACTTCATATCCATCCAGATCATAACGTGCACGTATAGCACACGAGAATTACACACGCGTCGCATATTCTCAGCTTTTTTTAATAATTCAGTGCATAAGTATATTATTTCCATGACGATGTAAATCAAACGACCATTTTAATGCGGCAGTGAATATATAGTTATAGTTGCGTAATAATGAAACAATGATTATGTTTTATTTTAAAGATTGCACTGGTGTTTTAGTCGTGACAAGTATGCAGCATGAAATTAGACACCCATACCTTTCAAACAAATTTTCAAACTAGCTTGTAACGAAACTCTTACTGTAATAACAAAATAAAAAAAAAGGATCAATTTTAAAGTAGGACTCTCTCATCTTGAAGGAAGATATACATTGTACATAAATCGGTAGTCGAAGTAAAGCAAAAAATCAAATTATATTATACAAATAGAATACTTTATAAGAAGTACAAAAGAAACAGCGATAGAAGCTAGAGGAAAGAAATATTCTAGTTTGTTAGAGTATATATTATGCAGTCGTAGAAAATATTTTACTAATAGCAATCCAGAGTGGATGGTTACATTCTAAGCGAGATTTCTGGTATTCTCTCTCTCTCTCTCTCTCTTAAAATGAATTAGACGACAGTCATTCACGACCATATTAAAAAAAAAAAAACTATATACACAAACAATATGTAGATAAATTTTCAAGAAGAGTAGCAATTATAACGTACTATTTAAGATGACGTAACAAGTGCGAGGTAGCGCGCTGGGCGTACTTGACACGTAGTGCAATTAAAGCAGCAGATTCGTGCGCTCATTAAACTTTAGCGAGTGCAAATATAATAATAGTAATAATGATACAAGCACAAGAGTAAGCGCACCGATGTAATGTATACAGTGTACTTGTATAAATAAAAAAAAGTATTTATTTTTAATTAGAGCTTTGCCTAAGACTTTTTGCAAAGCACTCAGTGAAAAATGTTAATAATGAAAAATAAATAAATAAATTGTAGCAGCACCGTTTGAAATGATTCTACAAAAAACTTGTTGAAAAAAAAAACCATTGCATTTCTTATATCAGATTTCTAGTCAATAATTGTACTACTACTAATTATTATATGTATGTTTATAGTTGATGACAAATTTAATAACGTCATAAATTTTTCCGTATAGATTTATGCAATTGTACATCACAAATACATTTGCTTAGTTAATGTGTATATGATGATGCACATGAGTGACAAAGAAAAGCCAATACTAAAAGTAAAATTGTATTTGCATGAAAAAAAAAAAAGAAAAGAAATTATGTACACATAAACATGCCAAATTTCTGATATTTTAACATAAACTTTGTTATAAATGGACGTGGACCAAAAATATCTAATTTACTCGATGTACGTGTGATCACAATTGATAAATTGGGTTACATTATTTATTAGATTATGATTCTAATGGATGTATTCTTCGATCGAATTTGACTTGTCGGTCAATCGTTTACAATATTAATACAATATACATTAATTACATTTAAAATAAAGAACAAATTTTTTAATAAAATTTTTCTAACGTTGTTTTCAAGCAAAAACAATGTATAACTTTGTAAGTGACCAAAATGATAATGTTGCACAATCTTTTCTATTCATAAACACAAAGTTTTCAGTGATGTGCTGGATATTACTATTATTCTTATTATTATTGTTGTTGTTATTGTTATTATCATCATTAAAAAATGTTCAAACTACTAAAAAGTGACCTCATCAATATTAAAGAAAAATAAAATACGAATTCTGAATTAAATTATTGTAAATATTATTATAACATATCGAATAAAAACTTATCGAACAATATGTGAGTTTTTGTTACTTTCAACTTTACTTATATTTTCCATATTTTTTCTCATCATCAAAGTTTAGCATTATACTTTAAAATGAAAAAATAAAATTATAAACAAAGAATTTTGTAAATCCTACTTCATGCACCATATAGTTTTGCATTTTTTGTGGATTGAGTCATCTACATACACACATACACACAATCATACAATGTTTGTGTATGCGTACACGTACAGATGGTGTAGTGTTAGTGTAAGAGTCGAGTCAAATAAACATGTCATAATATATAAAACTATTTAAAGAATTAACGTTAGAGCTGCATGACAATTGCGTGGAGATTACCTTTCGTGGATTTCATCAGTTGAATTGTTATTACAAATAATTTATAAAGCACAAATATGGGTAAGCACAGTTGTTTACACACAACTGACATACGTGTCATAACCTAAGGTATCTGCCGGCTTGTTAAAATTAAGCTTTAATGATGTTTTCGATTTATTGCAGCTGTGACTAGTAAAGTGTCTTTCCTTCTGTCATCTATACTCACAATACTTTTGTTTTCCGGAATGCAAATGTACAAAAATTGGTTAACATCCTCCCAACTTCACATTATTTTTGGAGGTTACATTGGATCCATGGTATTCTTATTTCTTCTCACTGCCCTCGGCAATTTGGAGTCAATTTTGTTTGGCAAGTCGTTTCAGTTGAAATTTTTTCCAGAAGGTAAAGTATCGTTTGCTTTAAACAGTAGAATTTCCATGATTAATGGTTATTTCATTGACTAGTATGTGTTTGTTTTAGTTTTCATATCCATCATTATTTCAATGGTGGCATCAGGTCTGATACATAGAGTGGCAACAACAACTTGTTTTTTGTTTTCTGTAGTAGCATTGTATTACATTAATCGTATATCTCAGGATACCTACTCTGTACCAGTTCCTTCAGTAAATGTCCATGCTAAAAAGAAAAAATAAAAGTCTTCGTCTCAAGAAAATATTATATTTACACATTTTAATTGTAAATATTAACTCAAAAAAATTCGAATAAACATTGGCTCAAAGTAAAAATAGATACTTTATTTTTCGCATTTGTTTAAGGAAAACATTGTTAACAAATTAATTTGCATCGTTTTTATATAAAAAAAGTTAATTTTAATTACATTACAGAATAAATTTAAAAAAAACTGTCTACACAGATTTCGGAGTTGGCTTATTTCTTTCTTTCCTTTTGTAACTGTCAGCTTCCTCCTTATCACTAAAATATTCATAACTGTCATCTGAAGCTTCTATTTCATATTGTGTTTGTTGCTTAGGAATGCTTCTTTGTTGATGAACTACTTGACCATCAGAAACATGCTTATAAATAGACATTGCCTGCAAAAACAGATTTTTATTTACTTCTGTAAATTGAAATTAATATTTTTGGGTTCTAATAATTAAGTTACCTGGGCGACAAAACTGCTAATATCTCCAACATTACTAGGAATGATTACAGTGTTATTTGTTCTAGCTAATTTATCAAATGCTTGTATATACTGTTGAGCGACAGAAAGGCCTGCAGCATCTTGTCCATGTTTGCCTTCTAAGGACGACGCAATAATTTTCAATCCACCAGCTCTAGCTGTTGCTACTGCCAGTAAAGCTTCTGCTTCACCACTAGCTTTGTTAATTTGTTCTTGCTTCTCAGCCTCTAGAAAAAAAATTTTAATATTTACAAGGCAAAAAAGAATTTTTTTTTTTAATGTATCCAACTGGCAAGTTGTGCTCACCTGAAGCAAGAATTCTTGCTTGCCTTTTACCCTCTGCAATATTAATGTCCGCTGCTCTTATACCTTCGGATTCAAGAATAGCAGCTCTTTTTTTTCTTTCAGCTTCTACTTGCATTTGCATAGCCTCGTGCACCCTTTCAGGTAACCTGATATCACCTATTACGACATAATTACATACAATAAAGTATGGACGACATTGGTAAATCAAATTTAAATACATCAAATTTTTAACTTACGAATTTCGTAACGAAGACAAGATATTCCCCAAGCTTCACTAGCTTTATTAATACTCTCGACAATACTAACATTAAGTCCTTCTCTTTCCCTAAAAACTTTATCCAAAGATATTTTTCCCAGCTCGGACCTCATGGTTGTTTGTGCCAACTGAACAATGGCGAATTCAGGATCTTCAACTCCATAAGATGCAAGGTAAGGGTTGTTGATTTTCAAGTACAATACTCCATCGATGTTTAAAGTGACGTTGTCTAAAGAAAATAATCTTGTTGAGGACTCAAGACACAATTACTGTGACCCCATCGAACAGTACAATAAATAAAATACATTGTCGAAATTTTGGGGTACTAGTAACAGTAACCTTATACATAATTAGGTAATGCATGTGTAGAAAAAAATCCGTACATAAAATTATATAAAATTTAAAGCAATAATCTAGTGATTACCGGAAGTAATGGCACTTTGTTTTGGGACATCGATGGCAATTTCTTTGAGACTCTGTACATATTTAACTGAATCAACAACTGGAAGAAGTATATTAAGTCCAGGTTCTAGGATCCTGTGGAATTTACCCATCCTTTCCACAACCCATGCCTAAGATATAAAAAAAATCCATTAAAAACCACGACTCACAAAGCATTATAATATTTAAATTTCATGTTTACCTCTTGCTGCGGAGTAAACATGATAATTGTATTGAGTGGTGTGCTGGCTTTTTCTCTGATTTGAATAGGAGTTACAAATGTGCCAGCCTTTGCAAGCTCCACATTAGCAGCCAAACATTTCTGTAATAGAATATAGAAATAAAGTTGCAAAAGTAAGTACTTCATCAGTGTTTCATTTTTATTTAAAAAACGCTTACTCTCAGAGTGCCGACGTTGCGCAATAATCTAGTTTTACTCAGCATTGTGTGATTTTTTTCAAAAACTTTTGCAGAATTTAATCAGTTTTTTAGAAGTTCCGGCTACACTATCCATATACTTCCGACAAATAGTTTAGTGGAATAAAACAATTAAATTCAACCTTCTTAACCCAAATCGAAAAACGTCAACCTCGCTGATGTTCAACACATTAACATACAATGTGGGTGTATTCCGCAATCGTCGCCAGCCGGTTACGACGTGACCATAGGCATAAAAGAAAGAATAGACTGCTCGTTCTTGTGTATGCGGTGCTGAAGCACACGTAGAAGGAGACACAACATCGAAGGTGGGTATCTGTCTCACCTTTGGCAATGTGCGAGAGAGACATATACCCACGTTAGATGTCTCCTTCTACGTGTGCAGGTGTGCTTCAGCACCGTATACATAAGAACGAGCAGTCAATATTTCTTATGTCTCTTTGGACGTGACAACGGTGCGTGGTGTTAGGGGTGGGGGCACTACTGTCGATTTACTGGTTATGTCGTTATGTGTTCCGCAATCTAACCAGTAGAAAAGCAGACGACATCGGACGTACTAGGTCTTTTCCGTAAATTTTTCTGATCGTAATCAATACGTCAGACATCGACCAACAGAACGTCGAAAAATGTCACGAAAAGAAAGTATGCTTTGCTTTTCTACTGGTATAATCCAATAACATAGGAACGTTAGAATGGAACAACCCAATAACACAGGAACGTTGGAATGGTATAACACAGGAACGTTGGAATGGTAAAACCCAATAACATAGGAACGTTGGAATGGTATAACCCACAAACCCTATAACACAGGAACGTTGGTATGGTATAACACAGAGCAACGGAATGGTATATATATACTACCATACATATAATCTAAGCAGAACTTTTGCGGAGCAGTCAGCAGCAGAAATTGCATCTAAGGTTAGGTTAAGTACTTGCTTAGTATAACCTTCACAAAACAAACTCAAAGTGAACTACACGTGTTTGGTGCTCTTGTTTGTAAAACGTGCCTCAGTAATTGGTATTTAAATGTACATCAGTCGGTTGGTTAATCTAGTGTATCACTTGTCATAAAAGTTGTGGTTTTTTTTGTAAACAACAATAAATTATATGTAAACCTGATAACTTTCGGGATATATTTTGATTTTTTTAAAAGTATTTTTCGTTATAATTGGCTACATTACAACACTATTCACTAGTAAAATGGTTGAAGATGATATGGTTGTTGAAGGAAGTAACATTCCCAAAGTTTCAAAAGCAGAAAAAAGACGATACATTGATCAAATTGTTGATGAACACGTCCCACACAAGAAGGAAAAATTCGAAAAACATTTATACAAACCACCTACTCGGGAGGAATTCAATCAACTTACTGAAACTGAAAATCTATTTCAGTCAAATTTGTTTCGATTGCAAGTTGATGAAGTTCTCAAAGCAGTTAAAGTAAAGGAAAAATTAAAAAATTTGTTCCGCAAATGGTTCGAGAATTTTAAAGCCCAAGTGAATAAAATTGACGTGACCCAAGAGTTTAAGGTAATTCTTATATTTTTGGTAACTTTAAAGTTTTTAGTTATTTGCTAATAAATTATTCTTTTAGCTGGAAGATGACTTGCTTTCAGAAGAGAGTGGTATAAGAATTCCAATGAAACAATTAGTTAACGAGTGTTGTGGAACTTTCAGGTTTTCACCTCCATCTAACATTGTAATTGGTGGTTCACATTCTCTAGATACTACTGTAGGGCCTAATGCACAGGTAGATGTATTGATTGAGATGCCTAAAAAAGTATTTCAAAGAGCAGATAATAGTAACTATAAGTATATGAGAAAAAAGGCCATATATTTAGCTATTGTTGCAAATAACATCCCAGAAGAATTGGCAGAACATAAATGCTTTGTTGGACATAATTTAAATCCTATCTTGAAAATTGTTCCAACTGGCAAATTAAGTAGACACACGATCGTTTATGTACACTTTGTAGCAGAGTACACTACTTTTCAGCATAATAGATTCACACCGGAAAAAAATAACATCAAACCTAATTGGTATTTCAATAATGATGAAACAATGAGTGGTAAGTTTTATTTTAGTTTTGAACCAAAGTTTATAACATTTACAACAAACAAAATTAATTATTTCAGATCAAAAACCACCCACTCCAATTTACAATCACAGGGTCATGTATGATTTGACAACAATAAAATCTAACACTGATAATGTTAGTAAAATGGAAGAATATCCAAACATCAGAGATGGCATTATATTACTCAAAATATGGTTAAAACAAAGAGGACTTTGTAATAATTTTGATTCGTTTAATGGCCACGTCATTACCATGTATGTGTTGTATTTGTTACACAAAAAGATAATAAACAAATACATGAGTAGTTATCAGATTCTTAGGCATACATGGACAAATCTAGGTATGTTATTAATTATTATTGGTATTGCATTGGTTCATGTTTAAATATTACATAAACGTAAAATGATTTTTTTTTCTTGTGAAATATTGAACAGCAAAAAGCGAGTGGCATAGGAATGGAATAAGTATGTGTCTAGATGAAAAAACTAATGACAAAATAGCTTTGTATAAAAAGCATTACGATTGTGTATTCCTTGACTCTACTGGATTTTGTAATATAACAGCAAATGTTACCGAAAGTATTGCTGAGTATGTTTCGGATCAAGCATCAATGGCCATAGCATGCTTAGACAAATCTAAAATGAGTGATTTTCAGGTACTTTTCATGAGGAAAGTGCCATTTTACGTATCGTTTGATCATGTTCTTTGGTAAATATAATTTCATTGATTCATACAGTCGTGAATATAATTTTCAACGAATTTATGAAATTTTCCAAAACGTCCATAGGTTATACAACGGTAAAGCTTTAAAAAACGTCGTGGATGCTAAATCCAGCAATGCTGATAAATTGAATTACGACTCTGATAAGTATGTGCAGACAGTTAAATTTATGACAAACTTTTTGAAAAAAGGACTGCAAAAACGAATATCCTTGGTCACAGCGTTTCCACGTAACATGAAAGAATGGAACTTAAATGAAAGAGTTCCTGATGATCTTGAAAAAATGTACATTGGAATACAACTAAATCCAGATTGTGCTTTTGATATTATTGAGAAAGGGCCAGAAGCGAATCTTCCAGAAGTAAATTCATAAAAAATTATTTTAATTTGATTTATTTCGTGTTATCAGGATTTTCATTTTTATTTTTTATTTTGTAAGGCAGAAAAATTTAGAAAGTATTGGGGATCCAAGTCAGATCTCCGTCGATTTAAGGACAGCACGATTTGTGAGACCGTAGTTTGGCTCAAGGAGGATGCAACACTAGCTCAGAGACGTACAATACCGTGTCGAATAATTAAATATATACTTGAGCAAAAACTCAAGCTCTTTAAAAAATCGCACTTTCTAGTTATTGCCAATCAAGTCGACGAGCTTTTAAAACCAAAAAAGGTACATCGAACTTTAATTATGATTTTCGAACCAATGAATCAGCTTAAATAGCAAATAATTTGATATTGTAGCTAATAGTACCAAAAGTTCCCTATGGCACTGAGGAAGTAGCTCTTCGAGCCATTAAGGCTTTTGATTCGTTGAAAAACGATCTGAGCCAGTTGGGAGACGAATTGCCCCTGTCGATCCACGACGTCCAGGGCTGCAGTCCAGTATTCCGTTATACCGAAGTGTTTCCACCCCAGACGTTCACACGGCGTCCCGATGAGAAGACCATTATCAGTGACGAATCGCACCTGCTGTTTGCCAACACAGTTGATTCGCCTATGCAGGAGGTGCCATTGTACCTGAGCCCGATCGAGGCTACGATGCAGTTTTCGATGAGCGGCAAATGGCCGGATGATCTGGAAGCTCTACGAATGACAAAAGCTGCTTTTTACATTCAAATCGCAGATTGCGTGAGGAAACGGTACAAGCTACACGCTCACGGATCCATGAATCACCTTGACATTATGAAGGTACAAACTGAACATCTCTTTTTTCCCTTTTCTAAAAGGATCGTAACTATAGGATTATCGTTAATCTAATATTATGGCATTAGAGTGCTGATTTTGACTTAAAAAACGGCCAAATAGTTCTTAAGCGATCTTTCCGTTGTAAAAAAATCTGCCACAAAAATTTGTATGATTTCGTTTGTGAACAAATTGAAAATTTTTTCATGGTTTTTTCTCATATCCACAGAATGGATTAATTTTCCGGCTGAGAATAGCGAATCAAAAAGAAATTAGTCTTGTCAAACAAGTCATAGATGACACCGGGCTGCTGATGTACCGAGACAACGAGGAATCCATTGAGTTAGAAAAAAATCTCTTCCAATTGCCTAAAATTACTGGTGCGCTGCACGGGTAAGATTTTTTTGAATTTTTTCATCTTTTTCCAGTTTCACTATTGATAATGTAATTTTTTAATCAAGATACTTATCCATTGTACTTTTTTGTAGATTGCATTGCCGAAACCCAACTTTCGGACCTGCCTGTTGCTTGGTCAAACGCTGGTTGTCGGCCCAACTTATCGACGACTCTCACATGCCGGGTCTTGTGGTTGAATTGCTCCTCGCCTCGATGTACCTGAATACAGACCCGTACAGACCGCCTCAAGTACCACAAGTGGCATTCATACGATTCCTCGAAATCTTTGCCCGCGCGTATTGGATCACTGACCCAATAATCGTTAATTTTAACAACGAAATGACCCGTAAGTTTTATTAAAGTAATTATTGTTGTACTATTGTAAAATGACAAATTGTTTTCAATCTGATGTTATTTTATGTTCCTAAAGGAGAGGAAGTACTAGAGATTGAAAATTTATTTGGAGAAAATCGCGACTCGTTACCGCTTCTCTTTATTTCGTCGCAATATGATAAAGCAAGCAATTGGACAAGAAAAGCACCATGTACTTTGATCCTTAATCGTATTACCGATCTGGCAAAAGCATCATTAAATATAATTGAAAAGCAAATTTTCAAAGGAACTGGTTTGAGTTTAAAACCAATTTTCATACCACCTATGTCCGAATACGACTGTAGCATCAAATTAAAAACTTCTTTATGTGCTCGGAGATTTGAGGCTATAAAAATCGATGATGGTATGCCAAACGTTTTTTTGAACTGGAGCAATGAACACCCAAAGGCTAAGATACCTATTGTCGATTTTGATCCAGTAACTCTATATTTGAAAGAACTGAGGGTAAATTGCACTTTTCAGCATTAAAATTTTTAAATATATTTTCGAATTTTAAAAGATATTTCAGTTTTTTTATATGGTTTTCGTTTACAGAGTGCATACAGCGATTTTGCATTATTTTTTCACGACACCTATGGCGGAACTGTTATAGGAGTTTTGCTAAAACCATGTGCACTGCAGGAAAAAGATTTCAAGGTCGCGAACACAAGTTGCCGAAAAATTAGCGGTGATAATAAATTAATTTTAAACATGTCAGCAATGATAGAAGATTTTTACATTCTTGGAAAAGGACTCGTCCAAAATATTGATATACAATCAAAAAATCTTAAAGCGGTATAACGCTTAAATTTGTAAAAATATTGTTAAATTTTGTATCATTAAATAAGAATCTTTCATATTGTTATTTGAGCTTTTTCTTGTCTCGGGAGAGGAAAGGGGATACATGCTCAGACTGCTCCGAGTGCTTCCTCTATTAGTACCCAATCAGAAAGTATCGAAACTGACGGTATTCCATCCGGTGCCGGAGCACTTTAGTAATTAATATCCAAGTATGAAACAACGTAAATTAGCTCAGAAAATTGAAAAATACACATCGACTGTTGTACCGACAGTTGATATGAACTAAGTATGCACATACGTGACGGAATAGTTATTCATGCAGCGGTCTGAATTAGATCCCCAATATTTTACAATATAATGGTATAAAAATGTAAAGAGGAAAATTAATAAAAAGATCAAAATAAATTTTGTAAAATATAATATTGAAAAAAAAGGAAGAGGAAACTGAGATCCGATTCGCAAAAGTATAGCTACATTTTTACTCTTTAAGCATCTGCAACACAATGATTTTATTTACAAGGATACACTAAGCGTAACTTTACGCTGTGTACGTGCCTCCTATGTGTTACACATTGAACAATTCGACTTCTGCGTAAGTTATTTGTTAGATCATCTTTAAAAACATAATTATTAAAAATTAACATCCAGAACCAATCACAGCTTGCTACGTGTACACATGTATAAGATTTAAGGAAAAGGGGAGAGAGATGTACATTGTCGAAAACGTATTCTTACATATTACTGTTTTTAAAATTCCACGGATAAAAGTAAATTGTATGATAATAAAAAATATAAAAATAATGGTAAAAAAGTTACTTATCTCTTAATCGTCATGTAAAAAATGATATAGATTTATATTTTTCTTTTTTTTTTCGTAATGGGTAAATCGCGTTAATAAATGGTCCTGTAAAGTTTTTCAGTCTCGCGTTATCTAGATGCACGTCACTCTCCACTTTTCGTAACATTCTTAGGCAACATAATAATTCTAAAATTTTGGACATTAATCGTCAATATAATTAACTAAGATAAACTTCATTATTGTTATGTACACAAATTAAGTAAATATAATCGTAATGATATTGACAGTAATTGCATGCAGTAACCATAAATTTGTAAAAAAAAGAACAAATATGTACAAAATAAGTAATATTACGGTTTTAAAACCATTCTTCAAAAAAAAAAAATCGTACGTGATTTATTCATTTTTTTGTTTTTTTTTTGTTTTTTTTTTTTGTTTTTTTACAATATTTTGTTAGCTAATTGTTTTTGTTTGTTAAAATTATTTGAGGAAAGTGTGTCACAAATTTTCTTAGTGATTTTCATCAGAGGAACCGCAGTAGTTTGCATGGACTCGATTTATAAAGAGACATCTATAAAAGGCGATTTATTACAATGCTTTAGCCCTAAAGGTGTTCCACCATTATGTAGGTATTATATACGCTCGTGACGTGTTTAATGGTTATTTTTATACAAATAACATTTTTTTAAAGTTTATTTACCAATCTTACTCGAAGGATTTTCAGTGCAAAATTTTTCACTATCGTCGTCATCAAGGCAGTACTATAACATGTTTTAAGAGCATTTTTGCAAAGCCAACTGTAAATTGGTAAAATAATACGATACTTGTGTTTTAAGTCATAAGCGTTGATAAAGCCTCCATAATGCTTATATCGACTTGGGAAAAAAAAAAAAAAAAAAAAAAAAAAAAAAAGTATCAACAGGACTACTCAATGTGAGATCATAGCATTGACTAACATTTTCTCAAGAGGTAGGACTTCTTGCATCAATTTTTTACCTACGAGTAATAATATGTCAATAATCCTTAACAATACTTTCCAGTCAATGGTATCAAAATTTAATCGAAAACTAAAAACAAATTTTTTAAATGGAGTCCACAGTGCTATCACATGTTGAAACGCAAGTTTATGTATTTTTAGTAGTGTTTTTAGTGATCGCAGTAGTGTTCATTCTCTTATAATCCAGAGTAAGTTTATAAATGTACCTTTTCATTTATTAAAAAAATCGAATAAGAACTCTTATATGATTAAAAATGAAACAATTACCTTAGCTTTGCACGTTTATGTTAAATAATTAATTTACGTCTTAAATACAAGTCAAATCAACAAATACATGAGAAATTTAAAAAATGTACTTCGTTTTTCATTTCTCACACATACTTCAGCTATTTCAATTCCTCGAAAAAATTTTTCCGTCCAAGAAAAATTTCTCCCCTCAGCCCTTAAAGTGATCGCGTCGGCCGAATATTTTTTTTCTCAAGTGGTCAAAATAACTAGTCACATTTCGTGTCTTCAGTGTGTATATATATTTTTAATATAATATTTATACATGCTCATTGCGTTTCCCGAGTAGCACAAACAATCAAGTTGTGAAGAAGCATTTTCTGTCGCAACAAGTAATTAAAGCTACTTTTTCGTCAATAATGATCCAACTCTTGATACAAAATTGCAATTCTCACAAAAATCACATATTGTTGCGACGACGATGACGATGATAACAGACCAAATTTATAAACAACCAGTTTATCAATTAAAATAATCGATCCGATTGAGGTTTGTAAAAAGGACGGTCATGTATAATAAAAATTAAATTTCACAAACTTAAGAATGATAATAATAATAATAATAATAATAAAGTAAGAATCATAATAGTGATAATATTAATAGTAATAAAAATCATAATAATCATAATCTTTACGTGGATAGTAATATTAATCATAATGAATCATAGTAATGATATTAAAAATTAAAGTGATGATAGGTAGTAAATAATATGTAATTCCTGCGCAAGTAACAGCAGCAGGAGCGCGGCGGTATTCAGTACGGAATCGATGCGGTGGCTGTGAAGGTAAAGATAGCGGCGAGCTGTGTTTTTGGTGACGTTGATAGTGTGTGTGGTTCAGTGGTCGCAGACGTGCGTCGTGTGTGGGTGTATGTTTTTGGGCCTGTAAATAGTATAATATTAGGGATAGCGGCGGCGGCGGCATCAGCAGCTGATGAGCATGAATAACGTAGCGAAAATAAAAACAACAGCAGCAGCAGGATTTTAAACCTGGAACTATCGTCTAGGTTTCAATTTGACAAGGGCGGAGGTGTAGGGGTGGTGTTGAGAGTGATGGTCGTGTGCAACACAGAGTCGCGAGAGGCCGAGTGACTGCTGGCGCGCAGCAGCGTGACGGCTTCGCGCTCCGGGTCTCCACGGCCCAGGCCCACGACCGCACCGCTCCCCATAAGTCCTCGCTTGGCGCCGGCGGCCAATCGATCCACGTGACTGACCGCCCCGGAGCCCAGAACACCGCCGCCTCCACCTACTCCCCCGGTGCCAGCACCACTTGCTCCAGCATTCGTGCCGGTGCACTGCAACGTCGTGCCCTCAAGACCAATCGTCATACTCAGTCATTTCTGTCGCCCACTTTTCTTCTTCTTTCGCTTGAAGAAGCAGCAACATCTGGAAATCAAGCAAATACTAATGGGACTTAGAATCGTTTTTTTTCTTCTCTCGTTTACATTCTATACGGTTCAAGCAGTCTTTCCAAAATTCCAGTTATTTGCATGCCAGAAGACTAGTCGAAGACAATCACGAACAGACAGAGAAGCATAGGTAGGCTGCGGGTGTGAAAGAGAGAAAGATAAAGTAAACGAGAAAAACACATACAAAGTAGATAGCAATGAAAGTTGATGGCATGGTTATTAATTTCAGCTGATGCCTTTTCCACTTCCAATGATGTTTTCCAAGTATCAGTGCAGTGCATATAACGGCATAATAAACAATTACAAAGCTTTAGATAAAGACTAGCACATGCATACAACAATTAATAAATGTTTTGGGCGGTATATGACAGTAACTAATAATTTATTATCAAAGTCATGGAAAATTATAAACATGAAAGACATATGCCTTCTTTCCAATGTAATCAATAAATAATTTTTGTCGTAACAATAGGAATATTATCTGTGCTATAGAAATTCGCGCTCATGATGATTCGTAAAAACATCGTAAGTACTGGAGATTTCGTACTCGTGCTTATAACAAAAATCCGTTTGTTAGTTATCCCGCTATTTTTAAAATTAAGTATTAACTTTAACTTTATTCAGTAAAAAGACAAAGCCAGTACTTAAATAAATTTATATCTCTTCAACACTATCGATATTGTATCATCAAAAGATTATTTTCCGTTGATTTTTCTTCTTTCAACTTATCATTTTTTTCAAGCAGCGCTACAATGTTCGTTAAAAGAAAATTCCGAACTGGCCATGAGTATGTATTCAATATCTTGGCGTAAGCTTCGTGAATAGCTCGTAATCTGTCATTTGGTATTTTTTCAATGTTTTCAAATATGGAAACTACTTGTACTGATCTAGAAATGAAAAGTAATGAAAGTACGTAAATAAATTAGTGACCAATCAAGTCATGCAATAAATAGGTTAGTTTTTTTCTTGAAAACGTTTAAAATTGTATTGCTGACAAATATTGAAAAAAAATAGGCTTAAAAAATTATCAAAGTAAAACAACTTTCCTTATATTACCGTCCTTTTGTTTATGATAAAAATACAAAAAATTATTAAACTTTGTCAAAGTATATTTAAAACTTTTTTTGTGATACAGAGAAAGAAAGTAAAAAAATTTTTTGAGTTGACTCGAATTTAATTGGGCACAGTTTAAAAAACGAATTTTTAAAATGTTTTGAATATTTTGAATTGCCATGCATAACATTTGAAAAAGTAAACCCATAGATAGGCATTCATTGAATAAAAAAATAATCAAGTGGTGCAATAGTACTACATAAGCAAATTAAAATTATACTTATAGTTAGTACTTTTATAGATGTATTGGTAGGTTAAACTTTGCATGCCATTCAATGTAAAAATAATCACCAGAAAAATACAAATAATATTGATAGAATTACTAACTTGGTTTCGTCGATCATTTCTACTTCCGGAGGTGCAGTTATTGGTGTGTTTGAGTGACCAGCTGTAGGATCATCATTTGCCAGTTCTCCATTTGTTGATGATACAACCTGTTAAAAATTTGTTGATTCATTAAAAATTAAATGATTGAAAGCAATATAAATTAATTTCTATATCCATAGTATTTGACAGAAAACAAAGAACTTTTAATTTCAATCAATTTAAATGGTGCACTGTGAGAAAATAATTTTTCTTATAAAATACCGTGATATTAAGGAAAAAGAACATCATGATTTCTAAAAAACTATAATCTCTAAATAATAATTATTATACGTCTTAAGCTAAAATATATAAAGGAAAGCAATGGTTAAAATAGTAAATACTAAAAAAATGTGATGGTGTTTTTACATGCTATAGCAAAAACTAAGTGAAACATTAGTAGAGCAATAAATTTTCTGACTGTTTATGCAAATAAGCACATATTTTGTACGCAAATTATAATTGATACATTTTTCAACAAGCTTGTATTTTTTAGTTTAAGCAAGTTAATGTGAATCTATGGAATTCATAAGCGTTAACAATCCAAAGCACAATTAAGACCTCAATAATGTTACCTCATATGAACGAAATTTATGGTTTGTACGGTCAGTCATTTTCAAGATGTTGTAACAATAAAAATTGATGGTCGAGTTATGTGATATTAAAAAACAGAAACTTTAAAATCATTTAACTGATATTGAATTGGTACTCCAACATTAAAGCTTAGTCAATAATAAATGGAATAAATAATTTAATTTAACTGAGAGGGTTGAAAAATTTTGCTTACTAATTTTGAAAACACCATATTAAGCAGCGTTTTTTAAAGAATAGCTCGAAACAAATTAAAGTGGTGTAAAAAAGAAAACGGCAATATTGGAAGAGAAAGAAACGAAATAAATAAAAAATCGTGAACCAAATGAGGAAAAAAAAAAATCAGTGAAGCCGAAAGAGAATAGGAGAAAGGAAAGAGAAAGTGCTCAATGAGATGTGGTACTTGTGTACGGTGATGAAAGTGGAAGAGATATGGACTCACCTGAACAGAGCCATGTCTGTCGGCGGGTGTCAAGGTGCCACCGGCATCCGATTGCTTGACTGCATCAGGCCACGTGGCACCCACCCCCTTACCGCCCCCTCCGCCCACCCCGCCACCAGCCGCGTCCTGAAGGAACAAGCACGACGGAGCGTCGCAAACGGTACGAATTAGTTAACAAATTTCGGTCAATTTAATATTTTATAAACGACTCACGAATCAAGGCTAAAAGTTTACACACAAGTACGTAAATTTTTCTCGGCATCGGTAATCAGTAATGTAATGTCTTGAGTTTTTTCAAGCGTATCTACTTTGTAAAGAAATTTGAAGAATTTGAAATCTTTGAAATTTCAAGAATTATTATTCCACTTCATGTAGGTGTCAAAGATTGTTTATGACATGAAACTTTATGATTTGATCACATGGTATGAAAAATAGTGATAAACTAAATATCTATAGATTTATAAATTCTACCCAACACTAATATGTAATATAGCGCAACAAGTGAGTGTTTAGTCAAATGAAATAGGACTAGCCTACTTTTTATATTTTGAATTCAAACAGAACGCTTTGTCTTTCGGTAAGCTTACATATTTGCCTTGCAGTTCCATGCTAATTTCATTCTTCATGAGAATCATATCTTCCTCATAATCATCATCCTCCTCATCATCATCATCATATTCCTTTAAATCGGTACAGATATTCCGCGATTTTTCCGATCGGTCGGTGCAATTCATAAGTGAGTGTGCAATAATGAAAGTATAATTTTTTCTTAAAACTGGACTCGCGTATTTTTTAATGATAAGTGTTTAGTTGCTAAAATGAAATATTTTCAACTGCTTTTCTTTCAATCCAGTGGATTCTCATGCGATTATTTTTACAATCAAAGTGAACGGTAAAAAAATCATAGCTACAAACTTGCATGCTGCAGGTGTGTAAGTTTAAGTAAAATTTGATTACCTTGTAATTTGCAAGGTGTCTGTCTCGATTTGGTGATACAATGATCTCCTGGCCAGTCTGCAATGATCCCACCGGTGTCGACTGTAAACATTTTAAATATCAAGTTAGCATCAATTTCAAAGCTGAGTATATTTATTGATACAATTCAATTTAAAAAAATCATTTCATTATTTTGTAAGTTAGTCTGATTTTATAACGTACTTTAACGATATTGTTAATACACATGAATAGATTATTGCCCAGTTAGAATGGTCGAAAACAAGGCAAAATTTCTACAAATCTGAACGCCGACAGAATGTACAAACCTTATCCGACTTAGTTTTCTGTACATGAGACGGAGCAGCCATCCTTAGTGCAACGAGTTGTGCAAAGTTTGATGGCTAGAGGACGTACATTGTTTGTTGGGCAGCATGCAAAGTTGAAAAATTCAGTAAGCTCTATTTTAACGATAACTACTTGCGAATTTATGAGGAAAACTTGCCGTGAAATGCTCTTAATGCTCGTCTAACCCGTTATTTTTTCGCTTTATCAAACGTCTTGCTCTGAGCGTGCGCTTGCTCGTCATTACTTGCCTTTGAAATTTCATGCGCATGCTTAGAATAGGGTGAACAAGTTTATTTATTGCTATTCTTCCATTGTCAATGTAAATATTTTGTTAAAAGATTAAGCATTCATATTGAAAGATAAAATGTAGTTGAGAAATTTATCACAAGAAATAGAGATGAAGGAGACGTGCAAAATGTGAAGAAAAAAACAACAAAAACTTCAAATACATAAGAAGAAAGCCTCAAAAATCGAGAGCCCCGACACGTACCATGGTTTTTCCCGTCCAATCGAATTCACCGTCCTGGAGATAGCCCCGTCTCTCGTAAAGATCAAGGAAAAGCTTCCTCAGGTACTCGTAATCGGGCGTGTCGAAGAAATCGAGTCTGCGCACGTAGCGCAGGTACGTGGCCATCTCTTCGGGATGGCCGTCACAAAGCACTTCGATCGGCGTGGCGCGCTTCGTGTCGCCGATTTTCTGATACCGCTCCTTCAGAGTATCGGCTTTCAGTCCTTGCCACGGTAAACTGCCCCTCAGGAAGTACATGAACATGTGTCCAAGGGCCTCGAGATCGTCTCTTCGGCTTTGTTCTGTTCGAGAAATAAGAAAACTTAAGTATAGGTACTTCTACAAAGCGACCAAACTCTTTATCATAGGTAACTGGTACGCAATAAACTTAACATTTATTTATTCAAATCTTCACACCTTCATTTGTTATTTGTAAAAAAATTGATTTTTAATCTAATAACCTTTTCCTTGGTGAGTGTTGATGCTCATGTATCGCGCCGTTCCCGTCAGACTTTTGTGTTCTCGATAAGGTATGTGCTTGTTGGTTTCCATGTCTATGTACTCTTTGGCTAGTCCGAAGTCAATGATGTGTATGATTTTTTCCCTACTCCCCATACTACTTCGTCCTATGAGGAAGTTTTCCGGTTTGACGTCCCGGTAAATGAGATGCCGAGTATGAACGTATTCTATCCTATGGAGCTGCAACAAGTTGAACGTCAATGTCAATCGTTGTGTTAATACTGTTGTCTCATCGCAACGAAAAAAAAAAGAAACAACGCGACAGCATATTAGCTTTTGCACAAAATAAGTATGTATAATCCTCGAAGCATCGTCGTACTCAATTCACAAGAGTTGGTTTGGTAACGTTAAAAATTTATAGCCACAAAAGTGAGAAAAAAAAAAAAAAAAAAAAAAAAAAAAATGTTACCAAAGCCGGAGTTAATGAAACGTAAAAGAGAAAGAAGCAACGGAGAAAAGAGAGATAGAGAGAGAAGTGGACCGGTTGAAAGACGATGCTCCGGAAATAAGTAGCTGAGAAAAAAAAGTAAAGGAAAGGAAAGAAAAGAGAGAGAGAGATAAAAGTGCAACCACAACAAGGCTGGTCGAAGACTTACGAGTTGTATGGCAATGCTGAGGACGGTCTTTAAGGTAAATCTTCTCCCACAGAGGTCGAAGAGATCTTCGAGGCTCGGACCAAGGAGTTCCATCACCAACGCATTGTACTTGCCGCACGGCCCGAAATAATATACTTCCGGCACGCCTTCTGTACGTGCATTGTCATATGAATATTTCGCATTTGCGGCCGGCCTATTCGCGGTGGGGTTCGCGTCATACTTACCGTGTGTACCTAACAATTTGTAAAACCTATACTCCAAGTGAAGCTGTGGTGCCTTAGACTTCATTGGTTCCTGCAAAAAAAAAAAAAAACAACGGACATGACAATTTTGCGTCTCTACATTTTCTCTGATTTACAACAACAACAATTGTAATTACCATTTTAATAGCTACGTGTTCATTATTGTAGAGATTTTTCCCTGAAAAACAAAAGAAACGTCATGAATCGAGGCTATGGTTAATAAGTATATGTCTAATATATTTAACACAACAGAACAGAAGAAGTATGTAAGTAAAGCATGTATGAAACTAGTGCACAAAAAGTGACAGAGGATTCGTTGTCTTTCAAAGTAATAGTCGATAATAAAATGTGATGTACGTGTTACGATGATGCCCAACTGAGGTAGCCGGTGACAATATCAAGAGCACGATTATATGGAGTAACGTAAACAATTTACGTTGGTAAATGTACATAATACGCGGCAAATAAAGAGAGTTATTATTCATTCGTGCAGCATCGAAGCGAATTTCAAGCTTATCGTTATCGGGGGCTAGATATATACCAGCAAAAGTTTATACAGCGCATTAAATTTCACATACCTACGAGTCGAGTCGTACAGTGTTCACGTTATTGTTACACGCACACTAGGTGCAATGAAATTCGGAAGGCGATAGATAGGGGGGCACTTGCGCAGTTTAATGTACATAATACGTATACAATGTAACCAGGTTTGATGCAACCGAAGAAAAAAAAACAAAAAAAGAAACATGCAACAGCCCCAATTGTGACGATTAGATTGGCAATAAGTACGTTTATGTTATAATTAGATTTTACGACCAGCAGCAAAGAGAGTATAATACCGTATACCTGCATAAATATAATATATTATTAAGCGCAAAACGACAGCGCGTGTATGTACAACATTATTACGTGTGACCGTGAAACCTTTCGCGTTCGCGCAAACGCTCGTCCGAGATTTCGTGATTGAGCGGCTTCTGCTTAGCGGCGTGGCTTTCTGTCTGTGTGCTATATATATTTTATACCTTGTGTACGCGTACGTTTGCACGGATAAGCCCACCGCGTGACATTTCTAGTATCTTAACTTTGTATGGATGTATATTGTGTCATACATGTGTTGCATGTATAAACGGCTTTTATTTTCAATGTTTTCAACTCTTTTTTTTTTTTTTTTTTTTTATTGATAACACTAAAAGAGAAAGAAAGTGCCTCTGTCTGCTACTTATGCGCTTACACAACAATTCTTCCATGAAGCACATGCTCATAATATTGTATACTCTCTATTCTCTCCTCTGGCTCCTATATATCGTCAGAGCTATATCCCGGCGTTGACTCACTAACATTAATCGCTCAAATTCTCTCCTCTTTCCCTTAGCTCCTACAAACATAATATATAGGTACACATAGTTAGTCATATCAGTGGTAATATACCTGTGCGGATCATTATTGCGCGCTCCCGCGAATATGGTATACAGAAGCGAAGCTATATTATGTATGATAGGTGTAGCGCTTATACATTTGCATTGGCCTCACCACCTACACGGCTGACGTTAATGTTGGACAGTACGGAATAATAAGACCCCATTCGTCCTGTACGGCCACGCAAGTGGGAAATTTTTTTTTTTTTTTTTTTTTATTGGTGTAAAAATACCAAGGATTAAACTAATAGTTATCATTATGTTAACCAATGATGTTTTTTTACCGGATAATCATCAACAGCCCTCCCTCCGACACGGCTGCTCTAAATGTGAGTGCCTTTTATTTTCACCAAAGAAAAAAGCGTAATTTAACATTTAACAAATAGAAATTTTCAAACACGAAATCCTTGAATATACAGAAACGTGATTATAAGATACCTGATTTATAGAGTACTCACGTGGGACTATACGTCTGAGCGCGGTTATTGGTACCGTTTATAAATTAATGTCATTGAAAAAACATACCCGTGAGAACTTTGGAAGATGAAATAAACCAAAGCAAAGGTTTACTTATTCCATAGTATTTATTTGGCAAGAAAAAAAAAAAAAAAAAAAAAAGTGTGTACAATTTGCATGGGCACAAACAAACAAACAAACAAACAAACGTGTTACGTAAAGACATATTATTGATCCATTGGAAATGCAGCTTTGAAGTATCGACTTTGAAATTTAAATATACATACATACATCTCGTGCAAACATACACGTACAACACGGCGGAAGTACCAAAACGAGAGATTCGTGAAGCATTATAAATTAGCAAGCTCAATCGTTTCTCGTGTACTTACTTAGGTACATATAAAAAAAAAAAAAAAAAAATCATGCAGGCCTACAAGTATTCCTAATACGCAATCGTAAACATCAAAATGAAAAGCAAGCAAATGTAGTATTTAATAAGTATCATAGTATCATAGGTACTCGTAAACATGAGGGATATTTTTGAGCGCGACAAAGATGAGGAAGCAATAAGACGCTCTAGAGGAGGCTCCCATCACGATTTCTGCCGAGGTAAACAAATAAGATTGACTGACAAAGTACTTATATATACATATAGGGACGTCGGCAGCATCATCGTCCGGTGGCTGGGCTCTATCTCTCCGACGATGGCGTTGAAGAAGAAAAAGAAAGAGGAAAAGATGAAAAAAAAGAGAGAGAGCGCGAATGTGGGTCAGGGTACCGAAGCGTTTGCGTGCGCCGCCTGTCTCGATCACAAGAATAAACCAAGCTGCTGCTTCTGTGCTCTAGAAAAAGATAAAAGAGAGAGAGAGACAGTAACTAGTGCCTATCCGCGTTCTATTCCCCCGTGCACAGCCCTTTTGCACGCTTGGCGCGGTTCTGTACCTCCTCCTCGTGGAGCGCGCGGTGCGAGTAGATTTATACATGCTTTGCTTTGCCTATGTACTCGAATTATTCGCGCACGCTGTTCAGTCATCGTCTTCGTTCCCTCGATCGGCTCTCTTTGACCTATTATATGCGCTCAATTTTATAACAGGTTTGAAAAAACCAATCAAACGCGAGGTTTTGCTTTCATCGACAAATATTATATCCGTTCATGGTCGTTCAATAATATTTTTTCTGTTTTTTTTTTTTTTTTTTTTTTGTGTTATCTCGCAAGTCATTCGACTGAATTTCTTTTCCTTTCTCCTTTTTTTTTTTTTTTTTTTTTTTCCACCCAATAGATTAATAATGAAAACAAAAAAAAAACCTCATCGGACCGCATTAAATATTTGTCGAAGGAAAATCGATTGGGGGGGGGGGGTAAAAAAAGAATGTCAATTTATACGTACGATCAGGAGATATGACCACTGCTCCGACTCTGACTAATATATTACTGTTTACTGCGCGCCTTCTCTTTTCAAACGTTCAATTAAAAGGGGATTATTTAAACACTTTCAACTTTACGAATCGATTAATTATCGCGTTACAAAAATTAGTTACATTATTGATTTCTGGAAAGAAATTTTAGGAAGTAACTTTAAAATCAATTAAAGGCCTCAAGCGCTTGTTTTCGCGGCACGTGACATGGTGGTATATCGTATCAAACTCAGCGGGAGCGTAAAAAACGAGAATATAAATATAATAGCTCGAAGCCTGAGGAGGTTTATCAGTAAATCCAAAGTTCGACGAAGGCGGTACAACTTTGGGGACTTGTTTACAAAGTATACGATTGTACAAAATTTGAGATGGGACAGACGTGTAAATTTACCAGTAAAAGTCGTTTCGGAAATTGAGCTTTTGGCTGTAGCGCAGAAAATTTGTCATGAAAAAAATGTTTGAAACGCAGAAAGTGGACAAACAGGTGTGCACGCAAAATGTGGCGGTACGTGCAGAGTCGGCCAGCTGTCCCATAATAAATGCATTGCAGGAGCCGTCTGTTTTCGACTTGTCTTTTTACGCGGTACAATGCTGCTGCTTCACGAAATTATACTTTAACATGTATTCGCACTTGTTCGATTAATTTTTGTTTTTTTAACAAAAAATATGAAAATCAATAGTCTCGAATCGTTCAGTGTGTTCTGGGAGGCATGAAAAAGAGATTTTTATTTGAAAGTTTGAAAGACTTTTGGAGTACCTTTGACTGTAATGTTTTTTCGTGGAAACCTTCATACGTATTGATTGATATTGACACGTTAAAAAAAGGGCTAAAATTTCTCGTGCGAAAATTAAAAAAAGCAAACAAGAAAACAGGTAATCATTAGCATTCCTGGCGCCTCTGCACTTGTAACAAACAGCCCGAATTGAGAGATACACAATGCAGACGCACCATCGAACGAAATGGAAAGCAAACAATTATTTTTCTCTTCGGCAATTTGGCGTGGTTCTGCTCTAGTTCAAAAGCGGGGGAAGAGAAGAGAGAGTAGGGGGGGGGGGGGCGCACTTAATGAGAAATGTCAAAAGCTGTGCTTCGTCCGAGCAAATCCTACTTGACTTGCAATTTATCCGGCTCATGGTGTCAAGAAAGTTTTCGGACACGCCGATGATGATAACAACCAGCGCGCATTTGTCGGGCGCTTCGTTGCTCGGACAGTGTGGTATGGTTTTCCCTTCTGTCCGATTTATATTATTATACAAGAGCATCAAGAGAAAACTGATCCATGTGTGTATACCTTGTAATTGAACGCATCTATGGAGCCGAAACGGAACAAAAGAAAGTGATGATTTTATCTCGACGAAATATGTTATTTTCTTGACTTACACCGAGCCAATGCTTTTCACTTGTAACAAGTTATAACCGAGATAACCACAAGTAATTATGCACTCACTCGCGCGTATTAACGTTTAGAAGGGAGGGGTGCGGTTATCTATGATTCTGAAGTAAAAAGCAGCTAGATTCATAAAGAAAAAACGGATTTCCATCGACTTGTTACTTTAAAATATAGTAAAAATTGATTTGCAAGTGAATCTTTAGTATAACATTTTTTCTCTTGGTGCGAGAAAATTTAAGAACCAAGAGTGGCAAGAACTGACCGAGGATACATGTTTTTTTTTTTTTATATTTTATACTGCTCATAGGTGAAGCCATAATGCTTTCACGACAAAGTCTCGGAGCAAGTTAATTTTAGCAAAAAAAAGTACCGTGGTGGGTGGTTTTTTTGCCAAAATTAGAAACAGTTAAAGATAAAATCTGATATCTATTATAAATAGCATTGCCATATTTTTTTTTTCTCTGCACCTTGGAATATCCGTTAAATTAAAATAAAAGAAACAGGGCGAGTTGACAAAAGTTAATAGCGAAATTAAATTCCCGTTGGTCCTTGGCGTCCCCAATGATAAGTCAGTTGTATCGCGAAGAGAAGAAAAAAAAAAAAAAAAAAGGCAGGTCTTTTACTTAAATGGCAAACGCTCGCGTTATAAGTAAGAGTTGAGTTTTGTATAAGTTATATTATTAAAGGTGCGCGCAGAGAGAAAGAGAGAGAGCCGCCATATGTGCACGTCCAGGTGTGCGCGGGGCGTGTTTGCATCTATGTGTGGGTGGAGGATATACTTACGTGTATATCTGTATACACATGAAGCCAATACCAGAGACCATCAGGCGATGTTTATGGCATTGGAGTTAGATATATTTACATATAGGTATAGCAATGTGGTACACGAGGAGGTGGCGGTCAATGCTTGGTGTGCGCGAACAGGTTGCTACTTGCTCAGAAGCGTGGTCTATAGCCGATCGGTAATTCACATATATATATATATATATATATATATATATGTGTGTGTGTGTGTGTGTGTGATTATAAAAATTTGCGTTTGCAGCAGAGCAGCACTGACAATCGCCGATTTTTACCCTATAAATAGATACAAACGTACACCCACCCACTACCCATCTGATACGTATACTCAATGTATGCATTTGTAAACGGTTTTTGGAGTCCCGCATACAAATACTACTCATTGCATTATACATCACCGCTTCGATAGCCGCCGTGACGCGCGACCGTTTAAGTATATTTTTTTTTTTGTCTTCAACTCACGCTTTTCTCTCTTTGTATAGCCTTCACGCGTATTTATATTGCCCTGACAAAGCCTGGCTTGTTCGTTCATCATATTTTTTTTTATCGCAATGTTATTCGACTGTTCCATCAATATTGTTTCATTCAAGTTTATTGTGATGTTCATTTAACACTCGATTTCGGTGCTTCTTGTCTTATTCTTCAATAAGATAGTACATTGAACCGTTGTCACCTTGGGGTTTTCACACACGGGTTTCCCGGGTTGTCTCGGTAGTTTTCGACTCGGCTGTTTTTCCAACGTATATCAAAAACACGCTCCGATAACATCTGCAACAATCAATGCTCGTACTTTCGATGTTTCGCTTGAAAAATCGAGGCTTTTGTTCAAATACATGCCGGTCGTTGGTTATTGAGGCTAAAATGCCTTTTGAGCAAACTGGAAAATTTAAGGTCAAAGATGACGAATCGTATAGGTAAACGCGGATCGGCAGATGGCAATTTTCGAAAGTGGCAAAACGGAACGTTCGTACGAAGAGCAATTTTTTTTTCTCCCCTTTATAAAACGTTGAAACTTAAACTGTTAATATACTTGCAGCTTTCGAAATATCCGGCTTGAAATTTGCACATTTTAACTCATGAGCAACAAATTTAAAAGCACTTTTTTTCGTTAATAAATAAAAATTTTTTATTTATTGTCCATTGTACGAAAAATCTGAGTAAACTCCACGACAGATGAGAAACATATCACGGACGATATCTTAATTTGAAAGTAATTTGATGAGCGTCAACAAGTACATCATCGAACCGAATGATAAAGTTGATCTGAACTGAAAAATACGGTATTCATATACACGATAACTAAAGTATTAACTAAACAAACCAGTACAATCCTCAAAGTCCAAATCAGCATGAGAATTGCTACGAGGGTATACATACGCGAGCACGTACTTAATGCATATAAATGTATATAAATTCTTGTGAGCCACGTGCAGATTGCTTCGATTTCTCGCAGGTCTACTCTCTTCTTCCCATCGTTAAATCATGAATTCGGAATCGCTCGGGCGTCACGTCAAATATCGATTTCGCTGCTCGAATATAACCACCCCCGCGTGTACTTTACGTAATTCCCGTTATCCCATTGTTTTGCTTGATGCAAAAAAAAAAAAAAAAAAAAAAAGTAACAGCAGTAGCAATAGTATATTATATAGTGGCAGATGGAAGTGAAGAGAGAAAAAATATATTGAGAAGTGAAGCAATGGGGCTCGACGAATTTGAGAAAAACTTACTCGCGGTCGGCGATGCACTTTTGAATTTCGATCGGTGCATAAGAAATGGAATAATTATATCCAAGTCCTAATCTGTAAGCTGAGTCTGCGCTGCAGTGGACAAAACATGTTTAGCGTGGACGTGTGCGAAATGGGTATAGGGAGGTGATAGCTTATCGTTTTCGTCGATAACGTATACTTGTAAATAACAAACGTATATATATATACGTATGACAAAGCGTTTAATGCATCGATTCTTTTTAATTCCCCAAAATTTTTCAAGCCAAAGGTCAAGCGCTCGCAACACGACCGTGATGAGTGTGCGCGGAGAGAGAGAGAGAGAGAGGGAGAGAACTTTCAGCGGGAACTGTGACTAATTTGATGTTTCACTCGATGTGCCCACTTTTACCCGGAGCAATAATTAAATTGAGTGCAAGCGTGCCTCATCTACTTATCTATTAAAACGCTCCTATTCGTGGGTTTCTCTCTTCAGCACCGTCTCGGTTGCGCTTTCGAAACGCCCCGGCGAACGACGACGCTCGATATACAAACTGCCACGTTAGCGCTGTATATGCTCGTGCTGGTCTTTTGACGTGGGGTAACTAGTAAATGGGAAAACTTTCTTTTTTTTTTTTTTTTTTTTTTTTTTCAAAGCTGCATCAAAATTTTCAGTTTGTTTTATAAATATTTTCACTCATACGATAATTCGTAAGCTAAACACAAACTTTGTGTTTAGTGAAAAAGTACCCCATGACATTTGATTTTTCTGAATGAAAACAATCCATTATTAGTCATCTGTGGTTACCTTCTTTTGTTCTGTTAAGTATCAATGAATAAGAAGGAGCGATGGCTCTTATAAAAATACAGAACAAGTGGATCACTTTGAGTATTTGAAAAATTGCCCAGTTTCAGTGAATGTTGATCTCAGCCAACTCTTAATTTTAAGAGTTAATAAGACAAACACACTACCAGGAAGTTTCAACTATAAATAAGACCAAATAGTTCCTTATGTATAGTATGCCTTACAGATTAAACAAAAAAAAAAGTATAAATAAAAAATATGTGATAAAAAGTAGACTAAAAGTTCACAGTTGTTCAATTGATTAAAAGTTTGTAACTCTTGTTTATGTAAGCAACTCAAAGTGGTTGACCACTTGTTTGAAATGATGGGTATTGAACCAATTAAAAACACAAGTATACTCACCAAGTCTAAGTTCCCCAAAATTACCACAGCCAATTTTCTTCCCAACCCGGAAATTAGGACCAACCATGAGTAGATTCGAGGTGGAAGTAACACTGTGTCTGGAGGTGTGCATGTTGGGCCTGGAGGCATTTGCACTGGTGCGGGAGGCTCTCTTGTCAACTTCCTGCTCCCTGTTTCTATCACCTGTCCGCTGCACCTCCTTGTCCACGCGACTATCTCTGCCTTCTCTCTTCTGCATGGCTGCGCCACGCTGGGCTCTCTGGGAGCTGTACTGTCCTGAGTAACAAGTGCCCTCCCCCCCTGGTGAAGTGTGCCCTGATGCTCAGAGGGCTGGCTGGCTGTCAGTGCAGCTGGCAGGTGCTGGATAGCCCCATAGTTTTCTCGTACACTTAGTGATCGAGAAGTTCGACGAGAAGAGAACTGGTGGGGGGGGGGAGCCAAGTTTCCTGGGCTGCTGCGAGTGCTACTGCTCAAGTCCGCCTGGCACGAGGCGTCACCTGACAACCATCAGCGTCAATCCTCATTTTTGTTCGACAAAGACCAGAAAGAGGAAAAGAAGGCAGCAACGGTTTCACGGAAAACTATAGGTGCACACACGGGGGAGAAGAGACCCGAGCTAGCACCCGAGGTGACGATTCACAAGACACTTGAAAATTGTGTAGGTGGTAAAGGAGTCACACACAAAACACGCTTGCACAGAGCAGATATCCGAACTCCAAACTATTCGAAGAAGATGCTCGAGTACGTATGCATATATATACACTCACACCCACACGAGCGCACCCACGTACGAGCACAGTCGCTCACTTGTCGTGTATAAATGAGCAAAGAGTAGAGTAAGTATATTATCGCGCACCACCTCGGCTCACTCGGCTGTAGGTACAAGGTACGAATATGAATCCCCTACGTAGACGCACATGTACATTCACACGCGCAAAAACACACACACACACGAGCGCGCGCGCACGGCCGGACGGATGGACCGGATGGACGATCCTCTAGGTCAATGGCTCGCTCTCGCTGGCGTGCCACTGCTGCTCTTGACCGGCCGGTCTTGGACGAGTCTTCGGCGCCTGCCACGACTGGTGGCCGCGGTGCCTGGTCACTCGACGCTGGACACCAACACCACCACCACCAGGTTGTCGACTCCGGGCTTCAGCTGCAACTTAGTAGCGGAGAGATTTGATGCTTCGAAGATACCGCGGACACGAGTCATTGCTTTTCGGAGTCGCCCGCTGTTTACAGTGCCTGCCTTGCTTCCCGTCACAGTTACAAATAGGTGCACCTCGGGCTCTTGTCACTGGCCGTCTCACGGCTCGACGGCCACCTCAAAGAAGAGGAGTAAGATTAAGTTTGTTTTATCCCCTCTCGAGGGTGTGGAGCTGTTGGCTCCGAATCGACAAGTCGTGCTCAACCTGGAGAGTATAGGTTCGTGTGCAGCGAGAGGAGAGAACGAGAGAGAGAGAGAGAGAGCAACGAAGAAGAGTGTTGGTTGGTATACTCTGCTACTGTACTGCTGTGGGTCGTTATGCCGCGACGGGGATGATGATGGTGTCGACGAGAATTGTCCGACACACGCTGGACACCCTCTCTCTCGTACACACACAAACACACTTATAATAACGTAGGCAGCTGTGTAGAGGAGATATATTATATGTATGACACACTACGAGGCTGGGGCAGCAAGCAACACAGTAAAAACTAGTAGTTTACCCGTATGAGGCTGGTGGCACTGGAGCAGCACTCGCCTCGCACACTCGCATCACAGCGGTTGAAGAGAGAAAGAGAGAGAAAAAGGCACATGATGAGAGAGAGAGAGAGAAGTGATATGATATGAAAGCAGATGAGAGCTACTGCTGAATTTTTCTCTCTTTCTTTCTTTAACTATATTCTGAATACACTGAGCTTGGTTGCATCAGGCTGCATATAGATATACACACAATCCGCACGGGTGCAACGTTACCCCCAGAGCGTCAGCGGGGCCCTGTCCTGATTTGGTTATGCTGTATTTTAATTATTCGCAACTGCGCGCGCGCCAGCTTGAGCACCCACGAGAGTCACGACACGACACGATGGGGATCGGGTTATCCAGCCATTTCATTTCAGCCCTGGATACTCCGAGAATTCAATTAAACTGTCGCCGCGCGTCCACCTATCAACGGAGCACTCCTCTGTCCACTCTCTCTTCTCTTGTATTTTTTTTTTTTTTTTTTTTTTTTCCTCACTTTTTAATAAACCCAAGACTGCCAACACAAAACTTGAGGCCTCCCAGCCACGGCCTGCTGCACCCAGCCAGCGTAGTGGCTCTGCCAGCCAGCCCTTCACTGGCCGAATAAATTCAAACTTAAACTTACAGAGTATACTTACAGCAGCAAATATGTTTATGGCTGAGGTTGTCAGTATGGTTAAGAAAAAAACAAAGAAAAACAACAAAAAAAAAAAACAACAAAAAAAAACAAAGAAAATGTAAATAAGTACCGTACTCGGTACGAAATTCAAATATTATAATGACAATGGATAAAATTTGTGTTACGTTCCGAGGAACGGATTGTAGTTTTAGAAAAAATATTTTAACAAAAATTAATCTATTGAAGCTTTTGATATCCTTATCTAATAATTTAATTTCTGTCATTATCTTAATCGATTTTACGAAAAGTCATTATAGGCAGTGATTCACGGAAACAAATTAAAACATCATTTATTATACTCATTATATTGTTAAAAAGTATGATATAAAATTTAGCTATTAAATTATGATGTAATTATTTTGATGATCATATTTAAATATCATCATGGTGATAAATTATTAAATTCGATACGTCATTGTATTGTTTCACCATACCACAGTCTCATATTAAATAGGTAATTAAAAAAATTTCTTTATAAGATTATGTTCAATGTTTTTTACGAATAAGCCTTTTGAGAGCGTTAATTTTATCTTTTTATTCAACCCAAAATAATTACTGGATAACATTTAAAGTATCGTATTGTTAATTATAATTTTTGATGATATCGTTACCATTTTTGTAAAAATATTTTATGTATATTTTCTGCCGCTGAAAACTTCGCGCTTAAATTTAAAAACAACATGGGATCGCTGCAATGCCTGCAACTATATGCAGCTTGCAGCTTCAAACTGTTGTATTTGCCCCTTAAAGATCATGTCCTCCAGGCTGACTCTTTGCAACAGAAAGAGCCAATAATAATAGCTATCCATTGTGGGCACTCCTCATTTCGCTCTTTTTTTAATATACTTATTGGTCTCCTTGGATGATTGCGGCTATAATGTACATATACACTCTTACTTTGCTCAAAGCTGAGTCAACTCCTTCTCAGAGAATTTAATCATTACCCTTGTAAAATCTTCTGCAATATAAGAATGTTCATTTTTATATCTTTTACAAGAAAGTTTTGTAGTTTCTTCATAGTGATTCATAAACACATACCTACGGCACAAAATAAATATTAATAGGAAAGTAAACCTGCAATGCAAGATGCGTGGAAGCAATCGATTGGCCGTGCATTAATTTGTTTTACTTGTAAATGCAGGCAATATTGTATAATGTTTGTTAACAAAATGAAACATTGTACGATCAGTCTACGAGAGTTTCTCTTACAACTCTGGTGTCGTGAAATATTTTTTACTAAATGCAGGGATGGCTTCGATGAGGATCAGATATAAAAATTTAATTTGCCGCTCATCAGCAAAACTAACCTTACCCGAACTCTCTCCGCAATCGCCCCGCCAGCCAGTTACATATTTAGGGTGCCTGTACATGGAAGACCTGCTGTTTGGCAACTGCCAGTCAAAGCTCTCTGGTCTCATGAGAGTGAAAGAGAGGTTGAATGTGGTCACGTGATGAACCCTATGTGTGTAACGAACTGGCTGGCGGCGATTGCGGAATACGTAAACAACAGAATAGTATAACACAGGAACATTGGAATGGTATAACGCAGTAACCCCATAACACAGGAACGTTGGAATGGTATAACCCAATAATACAAGAACGTTGGAATGGTATGACAAAGGAACGCTGGAATGGTATAACTCAATAACACAGGGACGTTGGAATGGGATAGATTTTTGTGCCCCCCCTCCGACTGGCGAGGTGGCGACAGACAGTTGTCGGTGGTCGGTAGAATACGTATATATCACATTATCTGCCAGTCTCTCCTTTTACCCTCTCTACTCTCTATAGTGTTCGGTGTCAGTTTTCTGCGCGTGTGCAAAACTCCGCGATTCAAATTGAATGCGAGAGGCAGTTGTTTTTGTTTACTTGCCGTTTGTTTCACCTTGTTTTATCAAGATTACATTAATGCTGTCGGTAAGTTGTGGTAAAGCACTCTTTTCTGCTGAGCACTATGCAAAACAATGGATTTGTTTTTGGCGACGAAGGCGAACCGAGGAAAATTCCCCAGCAGGCATCGAATTCGGATGTAATTATTCTTTGGCCTTTCGATGCGTCAACAATGTTTTTTCTTTTGTCATTTTATATATAAATAATTGCTTCTTCGTCGTTTTAGATTAGACCTTTTCCCATGGTCCCGGAGGTATCGTTAGTCATGGATAAACCGCAACAAGTACGAAGACAAATGGGTGATTCTTTGACTGACAAAGTCCCAGAGTCAAGACATTTCAAGCATGACGTGTATCATCAAGAGGGTGATTCTTATGCAGCTTGGAAAGAAAAAAGGTATCCTCAGCAAACAAATGTGACATCAAGCCCTATTTACCAAATGTACACTTCTACTCGCAATGCCAGTGGCTTGCAAGATAACTGTGGCTCCAGACAGGTATTTAAACCATACAATGCAGTTGAGTTTGGACATCATAATAGTAATAACCATCATTTAGATAATCAGTCACAAAATCGTTATACAAATCGTTCAGAAGCCATTGATAGTTCAAACAAATACCCCTCAAACTATTTAACAAATAGAAATGACAATAATCATTGTGTAAATAATAATCATGCCAAGAGATCTTCCAATGAAGGTAACAGAGCTCATTCACTTGATTATGGATGGTCAGACGAAAAAATTCCAACGGATCGAAGAAGGTGGTCAGATGAGCAGAGAAGTTGGTCTGATGGAAGTAAACAATACAAGCAACCTCAAGCTTTAGAGGCTTATGACTTGATAAACAAACTAAGACAGCAAAGATCATCTTTGTGTTCTAATCCTAATTCTAACATTCAAAAAAGTACTCCTGTGGAATACGATTGTCGATTGAATTATGGGCCAGTGCAACAAGCCCACAGCAGCCAAGAACACTGTCATCATCAATCAGTATGTTGTACAATGAATTATCCGAATCACAATACCTCCACAGAAACGGAAACTGTGAGAAACTTGTTACAGGTCATTACTAGTCAAAATGAACAAATCAGAAATTTGCAAAAACAATTTGACAGGATGATAAAATTACACGAACAGAGTTTAAAAAATAAAAATCAGTGCACATGTCAACCATCAAAACATTCTAATGAGATTCTTTACCAAAACTCTCATTTGTATGATCAATCAAGAAATTCTAATTTACCGATTTCCCATACTAACTTGTTAAAGGAAAATGAAAAATGCCTATCTGATCTAAAATTACAAGATGACAGAACTAAGAAGACTATATTAGAACAAAAGGTATCCATTGGAGTCATGACAAGTTTTGAATTAAAAGTTCAAAATAATCCTAGTATGCCATCTGATTATGAAAACAAACAAAAAGGTAGTCAAGAAAAAATCAAACCAAGTATAGAAACTTCAAATATGGTGAAAAATCTTGTAAATGATACAGAAGAAATGATAAAGAAAAAGCATAATTTTTTCACTCCCACTCCACTTGAAAATATCAGTGAAGGTTCAGAAAGTCACATGTCTTCGTTACGTCAGAGTCATTTATGTTCAGACTCTACAAGACAATCAATAGAAGCACGGGATTCTGCTGAACCAGTAGGTACAAAGTATCTTCAAAGAAATTTTCGAAACCAAGAGAATGTACAAGTTAATTTGGAATCGAATAAACATCAAAATACACATGAAGAAATCGCCAGACGTAAGCCTGTCTCAGAATATGCTGAAAACAACGAGGCAATGTTTGAAAAAAATACTCGTGGCATCCAAAGAACAACACCTTATGAGTATGATTTTGAATTCGAAAATGTACGATCCACACCAAAAGTAGATCCACCAAGAGATGATGGCTCTGATGAATCCAACACTGAGCCCTTAAGCGATATCACCAAAATGAAACACACCAAGGTTGACAATTATGTCGATGAATGTTTAAGTTTAAGTGAAAGTGAGTTGGATGTTGAAGATCCAAGTCCACCCAGTCCTGAACCTAGTATTCATTTAGATATGCAAGAATTTTCCAGCGAAGGAGGCAGCTTACCACCTCAGCAAGCAACCAAAGTAGGATGGACATTGTATAATAATGTTCTTGATCAAGTTAATCAAATTTTGCAAAACTCTCCTGGGCATGAGAATCGAGACCGAGAATCTCCAGATGATTACAGAGATAATGAAGAAAGAAACTGTGATAACAATTTCATAATTGATACAGTAAAAGCTGCTACGTTAGAACAATTAACAAAACTTGGAATCAGTTTTTCAGAAAATATAGATCAGAGAAAAACAAATGGAAATAAAAAGTAAGTCTTTTTATACATCATACATCACTTTATAAGATGTTATTTGTAATCGTAATAAAATAACTAAATAATTTCAATACTACAGGGTAATGTTTGATGCATCATATTATCCCAAGCAAGCACCACTAGAAGCCCAAATAGCCACAAGTTCTAGTGTTGAAACAAACACCAGTATGCATATGAAAGCCTTAGCAAGAAAGTACTTCAACGAAGAACCATTATCCGAAGCAGCAGTGCAAAAAACACAAACTGGAGCATTAATGCAAACGTCAAGTCTTCAGAACACAAATATGTCTTTTGCCACGATGCATTATTTACAAAGATACCACCTATTGCCTGGTAACAATTCCAACCCTGCTAAAGGTACGTTGTTACTACTATTGAAGATATTATTTAGGCGGAGGCGCGTAAGCAAATACGAACTAAATTATTTTTTTTTGTTTTAGAAATGGTGAAAGATAATTATAAACCTAGCCCGATAATTACTGAAAAACCAGCAATAAAGACTGCCGAAAGAAGAGAACCTAGTCCACGCCGACATCGAGCACATTCAGGTACATCAAAAGTCAGTTTTCCGAGTAAAATTTTAGATATATCAACTTTAAAGCAACAGCCGAAATTGTTGTAACATAAAAGTTATAAAAAATACTTGTACGCTTGTATAAGCTTGTAAATTTATTGTTAATAGAATTGTAATAAATACTTTTATACGTATGTAAGTAATTATAAGTTAAAAAAAAAACAGTTTTCATATCTGTTTGCAATTATTTCTGGTCACATCGAAAATCTCCATCAAAAATTAATGTATTTAAATAATATTCCAATTCACATTAATTTTTAATTTATTTAATTGTTCTTTAATTGATACATACACAGGTCATTAATTTCTACACAAGTAACAATAATACATTGATATTTTCCATGTACACTTTATGTTAATAATAATTTGCGCTTGCATTCGTGTAATAGGTGCCAAACTTTCTACCCCAAAACAAGACTATACGCAAACTTGCGTGCACACGCACATACATACTCATTTTAAATAAAGCGATTTTTTAATTTTGCACCGCACAAACTTCATGTAACTACATGAGCCGTGCATGAATTTTTGTGTGTCTTTATATAGATATGTTTGTGTACATGAGTAAGTTTAAATAAATTATTTAAACGTTGTAAAATCAAATAATTACTGATTAAAGTTAATGTATGTACTAAATTGAAGGCAAGTTTAATTAATAAAAAAAATTACATTCGTCTGAGTGTACAAATATTATTACCTCGCATGTGGTGCTACGTAGCAATGTTAACGTAATAATGAGCTTGGATACGAAAATGAACTTTTGCCTCTAATTTTTTGTACAATAACTAGTACTGCATGATAATGAAATTAAAACAGCGTACTGAAACAATTATTTGCCGATCAAATTTTTCGTTTGTATGAAATAAAAATTAATTTATCCATCTGATCCTACTCATATACCAAAAGTGTCAACTAGATTATATTTATCATCTACCACGTTAACGCTGACTTTGAAGTTTGGAAAATAATTTAAAGAATGTTACCCAAACCTGCGCCTCTTATTTTATTCAATCTTAAAGTTCGTTGTTTTTTTTTTTTTTTTTTTTTTTCTTCAACTCGAAAAAGTTTTTTTTTTATTTGTATATATCACACGACATAATTAATACTTATATACATATACATGTGTATATAGTTTAACAGATAAATTAATTTGCTTGCAACGACAACGTTGTACGGTAGTGGTGGCATCAATGGAAGACATAATCAGACTGATGAAATTACTATGCAGTACTGCAATTGAGTATTTTTTATTCTTAACATTCGCATTTTTTTCTACTGTATTAATCGTATAATTTATCGTTACTGCTATTATCGTATAATCGCTTGATGCCACGTTGAATTCATATACATATGTATATATAGATTTTTTTTTTTCAGTGTTTGTCATTGCATCGATATTTTTTGTGGTATATGGAACGCACGTAAATATTTCAAATCGCTATTGCAACAATAAAGCATCTTTTATTTCGAGTAACTTGCATTTTCATATGATCCCTCTAGAATCATGGAATTTTTTTTTCATACGCGTCCCTCATGTGCACGTACATATTATATATATCATCTTAATAATAACATCATATGTATATAGTCTATGTGTGTATATGCATGTATGTAACACGCATACACATTAATATTATTATAAATACTGATTTTCAAATAGTAGTTTTCATCTTCACAGCATCAACCAAATAAGATATCCCGGATGTTTGGAAAAAAAAAAAAATTATGCATTAAAAGAACAATGAGTAAAATCACGTAGAATCTCAATAATTTTATAAAAAGTAATGCCATATTAATCAGCAATATAGTTATAACTTTTTTTTTTTCATTCCAATCGAAAATTTTGTTTTGTTTCAAATGTTTTGGAGAATTCTCTGTTGCGACTCTTGATTCTACAAGTTCCTACACACACATATTATGTATAGGTATATCCGTCCAATTTCATCAATAACGATTAAAATTTTTATATTTGGCATTTAAAGGTAATAGTGCGTAATATATCGTAGTTATTCGTTACAAGAACTATAATTGAATCTCTCAAAAGGCCCTATACAATACATTTTTTAACTATTTTGAACACCATCAGATCTATGCGGAGTACGAATACTAGTCTTTTAAGGCTAGTAAGTATTTGCGTCAAGCAAAATGGTACTCCCTCATATATATTTTTTCCCCCTCTTCTTCCTTTATTGTCGTGGTGCGCGTGTTTTTCGTACAAAGTCATGTAGTATTGCTTGACGTGCTCCCAAAATTCAATCGAGTGAAAACGTCTTTTCAAAATTTTTTAAGAGCTCACATTCACTCGTAAAGAGTGGCAGTGTCACTCCACAAAAAAGAGTCATGCGTTGCTCTGGGGAAAAAAGTGGAAATTTTCAAAAAGTGAACATTTATTCTTCAAAAGTAAAACATCGCTCTTAAGGACTTTGGAATCGGAGCGATTATTTTATTCTTCAAGAATGGATTTTCACTCTGACTCGAGTGTCTCTATTTTTTCACTCTTTCAGAGAGTATAATTATACCGTCATCGCATTGATCATCAATAAAACGATCAAGCACCAGTTTATTTATTCATATTTTTTTTTTTTTTTTT